GCCACGGCGCTCTAGCCTGGACAACAGAGTGAGACTCTGTCTCAAAAAAAAAATCCAAAGTATTCTATTACTTCATTTTGGAGCTGTCCTATAAAAAGGATGTTTTGATATAGCTTCTCAAGGTTTAGTTTCCACATTAACAGTTTTCGTTTCTTTGAAAAAGGGTTAGCTTTTTTCTTGCAGGCTTTTCACCCTGATTTTGATAATGGTCTTCATTCCTTAAAATAAGTCTTCATCTCTAAATGCCAAAGGAAGGAAATAATTATTAAGAGTTTTTCATTTTTAAAAATTGATAGAAAATATTAGGAATAGCTAGTTTTTTTAGATGCTGTATAGAAAGTAGAGAAGGAGAAGAATATTATTCCAAGCATACATTAATGTCACAACTTTCGGCTTCTTAAATTGCATTTGTTTAAACTTTTGATATTTGATTAGAGATACTTTGAAACTGCTACGTGACATGTAAATAACATTTCTTAGTCGTTATATATTCTCAAAATTCCCAAAGTTAGCCAACTATATTAGAATGATTTTTTGATAAGGACATTTGCAGTGAGGAGTCAAATGTAATATAAAATTTAGTGTTTTTTCCTACATGGTTTTCTGTCATTGACAAATAGTATTTTACAGTAGGATTGATATTCATTGACTACTTACACATACAGAAGGTAATATAGCTAAGACAGAAAACTACTCCCAGTTTTGGCAGGGCGAAGTGGAATTTAATAGAGATTGTTGATTTTCGTGTTAATAGTATACACTTATGAAATATACCAAGAAGGAGCCTATTAAGAGATATTTGGTTCAGATACTCAGGATTAATGTGTCTATAATACTCTTTATAATGCGAGATATTTTTAATCTTGGTTTTCGTTTTTTATTTGTGTTGCTTTTATTTATTTTGATTTGTGGGTAGGGGACTGAGTATATCAAAGCTGTAGAGATTTAGAAAGTTTCACCTTACTGAAATAACCCATACCCCCCTGATAGTCAGCATTTTTTTTTCTTGCCTTAATTTCTTGCTCTACCTACAACAATATGGCTCTTAGTGATTATTTTTTTTCCCTAAGGAATAAATTGTCCTGACAGTCTTTAATTTTAGTATGGCTTAATTAAATGTAAGGATTGTTGATTTGATTTAGTAATGTGAAACACAATATTTATGCCCTCATTATCTATAGTGGGTGGATAGCCTTTTCTCTTTGTCTCTAAGAATAGTGTTTCTTAATGTGTGGCCCATGCATTGGCATTTTTGCATGACCTGTTGTTAACCATTTTTTTCTAGGTAGTGCTTGCCATTTGAATGTGTTTGTGGAAACAGACCCCCAATAGCTTAGCTATAAATTTTCTAAGTTACATCTTTACCTGCCTTGTTCTTTTTGTTCTCCTAATCTTACTAATGCCTTTTTGTTAGTTTTGCTTCCATTATCCGTGCTTCCATATGTGCTTTAAAATGATAACAAATGGATATCTGGTGCCTATTTTGTTACTTACATAAAATTACTTCAATGGTATTGAATTTTGAAACTCTTTAAATTGTCTTGATATTTTTATAAGCTGGTGGTTAAGTACATCTTGATAAGGTGATTGATCTTATAAATATAAGCACAGTATATGCAAGTGTATTTCTAAGATCACGTTATCAAGATGTACTTTACCATCAGCTTCTAAAAATATCTGTTTAGGCCAGGCATGGTGACTCATGCCTGTAAGGCACTTTGGGAGGCCGAGGTAGGAGGATCATTTGAGGTCAGGAGTTGGACACCAGAGTAGGCAACATGGTGAGACCCCCATCTCTACAGAAAATTTAAAAATTAGCTGGGCGTGGTGGTGTGCACCTGTAGTCCTAGCTACTTGAGAGGCTGAGGCAGGAGTTGGAGATTGCAGTGAGCTATGATGATGCCACTGCACTCCAGCCTGGGCAACAGAGCGAGACCTTGTCTATTAAAAAAAAAAATCAATTTAAAGAGTTTCAAAATAACATATTTTACTTGTATTAATAGTATATGTGTACACTATATGTGTATTACATGATGTATGTAATAACATTTTGCTTATATTAATAGTATATAGTAAAGCATTTCTAATGTTTGTGCCAGAAAAGGTAAATTCCTTGCATTCTTCTGTCTTACCACTGTTGTCTGCTTAATTTCGCTCAGTGCTTGCCAGGATCGAATTATGAGAACTAAACAGATGTTACTATTGATAGGACCATGTATTTTCTACTGTCGATTATTAAACCTCAGAGTCATCTTTCTGTTCCATGCTGTAATCCTAACAGAAGGCATCTGATTACATTTTTCACTGTATAGCCACTTGCTTTCCTGTTAGTATACTTTCCTTTATTCTGATTTTTAGTTTTAAATTTTATTGTACACTGTCAATGATACTGATTTTAATTAGAATATCATACAATATTATAAAGTTATTTTATGGATGAAGAAAATACTCTAAATGCCTTGTTGTCTTATAAGTTATATTGTTTCACTCATTAGTAAAGTGTAAACTTTGGAATGTTAAGCTCAAAAGAGTGGCTAATTTCTAAGGAAGTTTCAGCTTTTGAGACAAATTGAAAGTTTTTTTTTAAAAAAAGGAAGCGATATTAGTCTGTGAATGAGACAAAGCTTTCCAGAGTTTTCAAGTAAAAAAGAAGTTTGAGACATCATCATCCCTACTTTTGTGTTCACTTGCACTTTCCTAGAAGTTCTTTGCTTTCTTTGCTAGGTGTGGAGGGCGCAGCTTTCCAGAGCAGACTTCCCCATGACCGGATGACTTCTCAAGAAGCAGCCTGTTTCCCAGATATTATCAGTGGACCACAGCAAACCCAGAAAGTTTTTCTGTTCATTAGAAACCGCACAGTAAGTTTTCATGTCAGCTTTTTTTCACCTAGATTATAAAAAGTGCATGTATTTTAGAAGATAGAAAAAAAATAGAGAGGAAAGACTGTTAAAATTGTCTATAATCCTATTACCCAGAGATAACCATTATTAAAAATTAGTAGTTGTTCCTTTGAATGCTTAAATGTATATGTAATTTTTATTTTTATAAAATTGAGGTCCTACTTGCATGTGTTCTTTTGGATCCCTTTCAGACCTCATAAACTCAAAAATGTACTTAAGAATCTTTATTTAAGCATGTAAATTTTTTTTTTTTTAAATAACCACTTTGTCCTTCCCTGTCACAATAAGAGAAACCCGTATCCTATTCTGCTTATCTGGTTCAACCTCCTCCAGCTGAATGATGAGACTTTAGTGTCTGCACAATATTTCGTTGGACAGTTGGGTTGTAATTTAACTGTTGGACATTTAAGTTTCCATTTTTGCCTTATGATTAATCTCTGAACAGTCTTCTGTATTCTTGACTCTATCTCTGGTTATTATTTCCAGAGATAATTTTATGATAGATTTCTAGAAGGAGAACTACTACCTTGTCAAAGGGTATGAACACTTTTGATGCATATTGCCAGATTGCTTCCCAGAAAAGCTGAACCAGTCAACACCCCCATTGCCCTGCCCATTTTCAATCAAACAGTGATAATCTGTTCTGCTATAATAGGTCAAATCCATTTTATTTCTTTTTCATTTCTTGGATTATTGAGATTGACTGCTTTTTCACTTTTATTAGTCATTTGTTTTTTTTTCTGTGAGTTTCTTTCATATCCTTTATTCATCAAAAATTTTTATTTGGCCCTTAGAGTAGATGACTGAAGGTGCTATTCACAACATTCAAATCTTACTGTAGGGTGATACAAAGTAGAAGAAATTTACATTGCCCTTTCAGCTATTTTGAATATGAATATAGCTCAGAGATGTCATTAGTATGTCTGCTTTTTAGCCACCATTAACTTCTTTATTTTGGTGGTTAGATTGCAAAACCACTGCTAAATTTGTTATTGTCATTAAATTAAATTGTTAAATGTCATTTAACTAGCATGATTGGTAGGTTATACTGGGTTTTTGTAATACAGAAAAGATGGTAATTTTTTAAAAAAGTGAATGGAAAATTCTTAGTGTGCATTTCTAAGCCTAATTTGTCTTATAATTGAATCAACTTCTGTGTATAGCGTATCAACATTTGCTGTAAGTGCATTTTTTAAGACAAAATTGTCATGTTTTTTGTTTCATCTAAAGGGAGTTTTCACTTTTTGCTTGAATTTCAGTGGTGGATTTATAGAGATCTCTATCTTCTCTGATTTACCAAAAGTCCAGATTTGGGGAAGGGTGGTACAATTTAGAATTTGTGGTCTCTGGCTATGAAACAAAACATAAATCAATCTCTCCTGCAAGAATTGTATCAGTTCTCTAATCTTACACTGTGTCTTTTGCCTCCAGATTTTAAAACTGCAACTTCAGGATTATTGAACTAGAACCTATGACCTGAGCTTTATTTTATAGGATAGGAGGAGGAAGAGGACTTGTGTTAGGGTTGAGGAGTTTGAGCCCAGTGTATACTTGAGGAATCCATTTGTCTTGACAGTGGCCACAGAGAAAAGTAGAGTATCCATATGGATTTGGTCATGTCTCCTAGTAACTTGATGTATTTACACATAACCAAATTAATTCCTTCTTGGTTGAAACTTGCCTAGGGAACAGTCTTTATTAATTTTTAGCTAGGACTTAAATATGGTGGTATTTAGTTTGTCTTGCATTTTGCAAATATATATTCACTTTGAAGAAAATTCATGTTAGAACCCATCAATTGTACTATAATATTTTCCATTCCCCATCTTGATGCCTTTTCAGCAGTATTTAAAATAATTGACTGCTCCTTTCTTAAACACAATACTTCCCTTGACTTCCATAACACAGTATTCTGGTTTTTCTCCTGCCTCCTTGGTTGTCTTCTCTCACTGCTTTATATATAGGCTTACCCTTAACATCTGGCCATTATGTGAACTGCGTGGGAGTTCCTTAAGGTCCTCTCCTCTCTTTATTTTTTCCCCAGGAACCCTCTTCCAGGCATTTGGCTTCAGTTATCACCCATAAGAAGGTGACTTCAGATTTTACCTCTCTTCTGAGACCATGCTTCTAGCTGCCTATTTTATATCTCCTCTTGTTTTGGAATGAAACTCATTATCTTATTTCTTTTTTCAGTGTCCCCATTCAATGAACGTTATACCAACTCATTCATTAATAGCTGTGCAAGCCAAAAACGGAGAAATTGTCCTTGACACCTTTGTCCCCCCATCTCAGCATATCTAGTTGATCAGTAGAATTTTGTGGATTTTATCTGCTCAGTATCTCTGGAGTCACATAACCCACATTTAAATCCTAGTTGCTCCCTACTAGCTACATGGCCTTTGCAAGTTACTAGGTATTTTTCTTTATTAGGCTAAATACCCCCAGCTGCTTCAGTTATTTACTCATTTGACACAGTTTTGTGTTTCATCAGTTTCTTTGTGAGGAAAGTAACTTTTAATTAAAGTAAAGCCCATAATTGAGGCCTTAAAATTAAAAAGATGATTTTAAAGATGGTCAAATGTCATATGTCTATTTGTATGTAATACAATGTATGTCATTTAAATACAGTTGCAGTTGTGGTTGGATAATCCAAAGATTCAGCTGACATTTGAGGCTACTCTCCAGCAATTAGAAGCGCCTTATAACAGTAAGTAGTGTGTTCAGTAAGACTAGTTTTGGACTGGATTGTGTTATTTCCTTCCAGGAGCCTCATAGTTCCTTGATAATTAATTTTTTCATTCATGTTTCCATTTTATTTTACCTTGTCTTGTACAAAAATGAGTCTTACAGAAAACCTATTTTCTTTTAATGTGTTTTCCTGGTCTTTAAATTGTGTTGACAGATGAGTTCAAGAGATTGCTAAGTAATTTTCCTGGACCTGCTGTCCATGGATCAAACATGGAATACTGTGTTTCTCACTTGGTCAGCTGGCTGTTGGCTTTTCTTATTTCCCACTTGCCATCAACAAAGTCTTGTGAAGTTTTTGCCAGAGTAAATGAGTGTTTTAACTACTTTCCAAAGGTTTGATTTTGTTCTCATTCCATCTGCAATGGAATGTCATTCTTAAAAATTCTAAATTAGCCAGGTATGGTGGTACACACCTATAGTCCCAGCTACTTCGAAGGCTGAGGTGGGAGGATCACTTGAGCCCCCCTGGTGTTAAAGTTCAGCCTGGGCAACAAAGCAAGACCCCTGTCTTTAAAAATAAATAAATAAATATAAATTCCAAATTATGTGATAGGTATTTTGATCCCACAGACTAATAGTTCTAAGAATCACTTTTCTAAAAGAGTCACATGACCTGAAGCTTATGGAAAAGATGTGTTGAATGATTTCATGATAGAGAAATAGAAGAGGTAGAAGAGTTTTCTGTTTAAACTGCTGAAAATATAAACATGTTTTTAAACCACTTATTCTGTAGGTGATACTGTGCTTGTCCACCGAGTTCACAGTTACTTAGAGCGTCATGGTCTTATCAACTTCGGCATCTATAAGAGGATAAAACCCCTACCAAGTAAGGATCTACCTGGCCAATGAATTGGTTTTAAATTATGATTCCAGGACTGTTCTTTATATCCATGATGCTGTTAGCATTTTATTTTGATTTGTAAATTTATATTTAAAATCAAAATATTCCCAAGTCAAATTGAAAATAAAATCTCTTAATGTGCATTTTGTTTAATTTTTGGTTTGATAGCTACTTAGTAAAAGATACTGGATTTCCAATTTAAAAAAATAAATTTGTTAAAAATGAGAGAAATCAGTTTTGCAAGTAGGAGGTTTGAAGTTTTTCTTTAATTGACCAGTTCTTCAGGCTGCTAATGGTTGCATTTTTTATTTAAAAAATTTTTTTTCGTAAACACTAATCACCCCTTTTATGGTGTTTAGGTGGATAATATCTGCCAGGGATCCAAGAGATAGGGGTATTTTGAGAATTAATACATTTATTTTTAATACTTTAATACTTTTTCAAAGGGATACTAACTTAAGACTACAGAAGTAAAGGTTAAAGGAAATGGCTTACACCCAGAATATATCCTAGTACAATTATAAGGTAAATGAAGCAGATTATTAATAATTTAAGAATCACAGATACTGACCACATGACTGAGGTAATGAGAAAGTAAATCTTGAGATAGTGTGTTTGATTTATAGATGTTCAACATTGAATTAAAATTTATTATTAAAATTTATAAGTTTCAGATATTTGTTGATTTGTTTTCAGATAGTTATTTTGAAAATAACTATCTGAATTATTTACTTTATAAGACATTATAACATGTTAAAAACCTAGAGGTTTGCATGAGAAAAAACTATAAATACAAACTCTTACACTTACAACCAAATATTCTAATTTTTGTTCATTTTTTGCTTTTAGCTAAAAAGACGGGAAAGGTAATTATTATAGGCTCTGGTGTCTCAGGCTTGGCAGCAGCTCGACAATTACAAAGTTTTGGAATGGATGTCACACTTCTGGAAGCCAGGGTAAGAATTTTATTTTGAGTTTAAGAAGCCTGACCTAATGGAAATATGGTAAGGAAATTATCTCTTGCAAATTAAGGAATCATACAACTAAGCAAAATTGATTATAGTATTATTTATATTAGATAAAGCATTTTTTTTTTTTTTTTTTGAGACAGAGTCTCACTCTTTTTGCCCGGGCTAGAGTGAGTGCCGTGGCGTCAGCCTAGCTCGCAGCAACCTCAAACTCCTGGGCTCAAGCAATCCTACTGCCTCAGCCTCCCGAGTAGCTGGGACTACAGGCATGCGCCACCATGCCCAGCTAATTTTTTGTATATATTTTTAGTTGGCCAATTAATTTCTTTCTAATTTTAGTAGAGGCGGGGTCTCGCTCTTGCTCAGGCTGGTCTCGAACTCCTGAGCTCAAACAATCCGCCCGCCTCGGCCTCCCAGAGAGCTAGGATTACAGGCATGAGCCACCGCACCCAGCCCGATAAAGCATTTTTGATGGTAAAGCCTTGGAAAGTGCTCAGTAAGTATTTAGAGTTTGTAAATGATTCATATGTTCTTTTGATGGATATTTTCAGGTCCTTGTTTCTTGCATTTAGCTCTCAAATTTGGGGCCTTCACAGACATATCCTTTGTAGGAGGTAGTTATTTTTGGTGGTGGAACAGAGTAATTTCTTATTATATTCAAGGAAAAGAAGTTGCTTCTCAGAGAGAAGCCCTCTTTTAGAAGCCAAGATAATGGTTCTCTTCTTATTAGTCCTGGAGAGAGGAATGGAAACTTGGAGGAGAAAGGGATAATGGCACACAGTTAGGAAAAAAGAACATCATATAAGGATGCTACTATTCAGATTATTTTCATGAATAATTTTTGAAAACTAATTATCTTCCAGTGGCTTAAAAGCCTCCCTGGACTTCCATCATTTAAAAAACACTTCTGAGGTAACCTAAACTATCTAAAATTTTATAAAAGTTTTCAAAATGTTGGTCAATCCAAATAGCTTTTTTTTTTTTTTTTTTAAGAGAAAAGGTCTCACTGTTGCCCAGGCTAGAGGCAGTGGTGCAGTCATAGTTTGCTGCAACCTCAAACTCCTGGGCACAAGCAGTCCTCCTTTCTCAATCTCAGTCTCTGGAATAGCTGGCACTACAGGTACACACCAACATGCCCAGCTAATTTCTTAATTTTTTTGTAGAGATGGAGTCTTGCTGTGTTACCCAGCCTGGTCTTGAACTCCTGGCCTCAAGCAATCCTCCTACTTCAGCCTTCCAAAGTGCTGGGTTTACAGGGGTGAGCCACTATGCCCAGGCTAAACTACTAATTTTTAAAAATATTCTTTTCAAATAGAGTATGGGGTGGGGAAGTCAAAATTAAATATTTTGCTGATATAGTCTGTTACTAAAAATAATATTTTATTCATTAATTCAGAAAACATTTGTGTGTGCTATGTACTAAAAATACAATAAAGAATTATGGGATCATCATGATCTCTTCCTATGTAGAGTTTATAATTTAGTGTATACATTTTTGTTTTGTTTTGCTATTTTGTTTGCTTATTTGGAGTTTATAGAGTATGCTCATATTATCCATAATTATTGAATTATCATTACAGCTCAGTAAGGTTTTCTCATACTTGAAAATCCCTAGTCAGGAGAGATAAACCTGGGCCTATTCAGGGATGAAAGATACTGTAACAGTTTCTGTTCAGTAGGCTTTTTGCCCCTTATAGGGCTGTGCTGGAGAACCATTTGTCAGAGAAGTCATCTATCAAATTATTCACAGCTAACTTTGAGGATTGAGGGGCAAGAGTCAGATTATAGTGGTAGAAAGTTGATATTTAAATAGTGTTAGAATTTGTGAACAAACGTTTCCTTTGTAGGTGGCCCTTGTTCATCCTGTACAATAAAAGATATTATAGACAGCTAGGTAGAGAGATAATAGTACCTGGGACTGAATATGTATTCTGGCTGTCAGATTCTTTTATATCACATCATTTGATTCTGTACCTCTTACATGTCATTTGTTGCCTGTCTCTCCCTCAAATAGTCTTTGAGTTAAACTTCATTTGCCCTTTATGCCCACACTGCTGTTGATTGCATTCCATGTAAATGCTACACCTTTCTTTCTGAATTTTAAAAGAGCCATGGTGTGGTATTATGTGAGGTCTGTGGGTAAAACAGAACTAATCATTTTGGCCATTTAATTTCTGAAAAACAGGACCGTGTTGGTGGACGAGTTGCTACATTTCGCAAGGGAAACTATGTAGCTGATCTTGGAGCCATGGTGGTAACAGGTCTTGGTAAGTAGTTCTTAGTTTTGTGCTGTAATACATAGTGTGAGACTCATACAATTGTTAAAATTTACAGTTTAAAATTATAGATGCAGTTTTGAAATATATCAGTTTAGTGTATTCTTGTTAACGAGAGGTAAATTACCAAATAGTCTTCCTGAAAGGATATAATCAGTATATGCAAAATTTATGTATCTTTTGACCTAGGGTATCTTTTTCCAGTTCTAGGAAATTATCCTAAGAAAATAGACAAGTGGACAATATTGTGTTTGAAGCATTTTTAATGTGGCATTGTTTATAATAGTGGAACATTAGAAACCACAGATTAGAAGATTAAATTATACAGTGAGAACTATTCAGCCACTAAAAATTGTGTAGCTCGATGTTAACATAAAGCGATGTCTACAGTATATCGCTAAGTTGATAAAAGATTCTAGACTGGGCTCAGTGGCTCATGCCTGTAATCCTAGCACTCTGGGAGACTGAGAAAGGAGGATCGCTTGAGGTCAGGAGTTCGAGACCAACCAGCCTGAGCAAGAGTGAGACCCCGTCTCTACTAAAAATAGAAAAATTGGCTGGGTGTGGCGTCGCATGCCTGTAGTCCCGGCCACTCAGGAGGCTGAGGCAGGAGGATCGCTTGAGCCCGGGAATTTGAGGTTGCTGTGAGCTAGGCTAACGCCATAGTACTCTAGCCCAGGTGACAGAGGGAGACTCTGTCTCAAAAAAAAGAAAAGAGATTATAAAACAATACATGTGTTAATGATCCTTTTGTGTGTTTATGTCTATAATTTTATACACTTAAAATATAGAAAGATCTGTAATAAAACATTAATTAGTGAGATTATAGGTAATGTTTGGCCTTCTTCTTCATGGTTATCTTACATATTTTTACTTTGAGCACTTTTTTTTGAGAAATAAGTCATATACCATAAATGTTGAGCATTCTTGAGGTAAAAATATTTTTACTTTGAGGTTTTCACTCTCTTTTCATTAGGGGTGTTGAATTTAATTGTTTGAGTTTTTTCTAGGAGGGAATCCCATGGCTGTGGTCAGCAAGCAAGTAAATATGGAACTGGCCAAGATCAAGCAAAAATGCCCACTTTATGAAGCCAACGGACAAGCTGTAAGTTGAGGACAAACAGAACTTTTCAAAATGTCTTTGGTTCAATTGAAAACAGTTTGCAGGGAATAATGGATAAACATAAACACTTACAAATACAAACTGAGGGTAGAAATTATGGGACATTATTCTGGTTGTTTCTTAACTCTGAGCTATGTAGGAAGGGATTATTGTATATGTGCAGATACAAATGTCTGTTCAGGCATTTATCTTTAAACATTTAATGAGGGCTGGCTAGACAAGATTATCTTTTTATTTGGCTATGGCCACTTACTCCAAGAGACCTGTGGAATTGAAACCTGATTCATCATTTCTTTGTATTGTGCCTCCCATCGTGTGCTTTAGATCTGTGTACTCTTTATGACTTCAGTTTCATGTATATAAGCTCAATTTTTTGATGGGCTAATAGCCAAATGGTGGTACTTACCCAAATGCTTAGGTAGGTTTTAAGTATTTGTTGACAAGAAGCATAGAAGCTTCCTATACTTAGTATGACATGGAAGTGGTAATTGCTGTGGAGGAGTGGGAGTAGTTTAACCACTGTAAGATAGACTTAGATTACATAAGTCAGTCCTAATTTTGTAGGGATGAGTGAAATTCAAAAGTTCGTACTCAGCAAAAATTTTACCCACTCCCCCGTCAGGATGAGAGCCCACACTTCTCAGGATATAAGCACATTATTATCTTTATTATTTTTATATTTGGGGGAAGGGAAGATTTCCTATGTATATGGTGGTTTAGCTGTTATCACTAAAAGTGGTAAGATCCTAACTCTAATTTTGTGTGATAGGTCTTAGGGGACATCCTTCCCTATTCCTATCTTATCTTTAGGCTTTACGGGGTTCATATCAGAGAAGGACAGACTTTCAGGGATTGCTTTGGGTCCCATCCCCACCATCCTGGTCCAGATTTCCTCCGAGAGCTTGCAGGGAGGGGCATTACAGGAGGCTTCTGGCAGAATAAACAATAAAATGAGAGAAAAAGGATGAAGACAAGATTAATTGAACAATTTAGTAAATTTCTGTTATTCTACCAAGATTTGTAAAGAATGTAGAGTAAGACAGTCCCTACTATAGTATAGTGGTACTTGTACACAAATAATTCTTTTTTCCCAACTTTTTATTATGGAAATTTAAAAATATGCAGAAAATGTAGAAAGAGTACTATAATGAACTCCCATCTTCCCAATCTTACTTTATCTGTCCCATTCCTGCACTTTTTGATGGATGTGTGTGGGAGGATGTCTGGAGTATTTTTAAGCAAATCACAAACACGTTACCCATAAATAAACCAATAACACAAAGTCAAATGAGATTTGCCAAGGTTAAATAGAAGAACAAATAGCTGTGGAAGAAACAAGGGGGCAAGAGAATGTGTGAAGGCGGGAGGGGCAAAGGCAGGGAGAGATGTGGAGGGGGGAGAGCAATTGTGAATGGCAGGCCAGGACTTCCAGTTGTGGAAGGAAAGGGCATTGGAGGTAGTAGAGGAAGGTGTAAGTGTAAGGAGAGAAGTCTGCCAAGGAGGATGGGATTCTACCAGGGCGAGGGTAGGAAATATAAAGCTAAAGTGTAGGCTGGGGCCATGCTGTGGAGGATGTTGCTTGCTAGGCTGATTTGTAGGTTGAAACTTCAGAGGTTTCAGAGCAGAGAAGTGACATGATCAGATAGGTTTTTGAGGTAGATGGGCAATAAAGCACAGAATTGAGGTAAGGAAGCAAGGTGTCAAGATGACGATCATAGTAGTCCTCAAGATGTGATAGAGTCCATGCTAAAGATGATCACTTACCATTGATATGCCGTCTTTTTCTTGAGACTTTCCAGAATACAGAGCAGGTTCATTTAGTCTTTCTAACAGTAAAGAGAGAAGTTTTCTCTAGTAGAGATATCAAATTGGCTGCTTTCTTGGTATTAGATGAGCTTTAACACTTTTTTAAAACATTTGTTTTTAAATACCACGGTGTCCCAAAAATCTCCATACAAAGGAAAAAATTTGTAATGAATATTTTTTAAATAAAGGTACATTTAGCTATAATTTCCCATTTTTTCCTATGTATGGTGACTTCACTTTCTCAGTGCAGAAAGTGATACATTGATTTATGTTCTGGCTCTATGTCTCACCAGGGCCAGCCCTTTGAGTGGCACTGTAGTGTGAACAGTTGTTAACTTGGTGTGTGGTTTTGAGCATTTTGTATGCAGGGATATTTCTCCACGTGAAATTGTAGTTGTCATTCAACTCTGATCTATATAGAATTTTTCTAAATTGATATGTTTGTACTGGACACAGTAACCAAGTAGTAAGGAAGATTTTTTAAGATCTTTATCTAGGAAAGAATTCTTTGCAGCTCTGAATTATGTTTGCCCTAAGTCAATCAAACGTAAGAAGGCATGTTAATGTTTCTGTATTTTGCTGCCATCAGTAAGCTCAGGGTAAGAATTAGCAATTATTGACTTGTAGATTAGCTTTGGGGTTATAGGGCAAGTACAAGAGCCCCATTAATTTATGCTTATAATTACAAATATGGTTCCTGGCTTTAAGAATCTAAAGGGAGATAAGTAGGTCAGTAGTTTCATTCTCCTATTAGAAGCAGCTAAAACACACACGTTTGCCTAAGGTCACTATCGTCAGTAAGTTGGAGAGTTGGAATTTATTGCCTGTTGTTGGGGCTCAAATGCCCATAGTTGTTCTGCTACACCTGGCTGATAGTTCAGGAGAGATGGGGGTGGGGCGAGTGTATGCAGCTCTTTCTCACTGCCTGTGTGACCGCATCAGCTGAGTCTCCTCAGCTTTCAGTAGTTACCCCAGGTGCCAGCAAGTCCCCTCTAGAGTAGAAATTCACTCAGCCATTGATTTTTGTTTAGTAGACTGTCCAGTGAAATGAGCTTGTGTTTCTCCATTTGTGGACAGCATCAGTCAAAAAAGGAGTGATTGGATGGTTCTGTTCATAGAAATTAATTTATCATGTGTAAGATCAGTAGTTCCTTAGAGTTACGAATATGACTTGTTGTAATATTGTCTTAAGGACATATCTCCGTACCCAGCCATTTTGCTGCTATAGGAAAAAATCATGACAAGTGATTTTTATTATTGTTGTTATTGTTTTAATCACAATCATAAGGATCCCTGAAAGAGTTTACCTCTCTGTTGTCTCTCGTCCTACGTTTGCAGCTAGAATATTGAGCTTCTATGTTTGTTTTTGACAGGGGAAGTTTATTTTGTGGCTCTGGATCACTAGAACAAGGGCTTCTCTTTTTTTTTTTTGAGACAGAGTCTCACTCTGTTGCCTGGGCTAAAGTGCCATGGCGTCAGCCTAGCTCACAGCAACCTCAAACTCCTGGGCTCAAGCGATCCTCCTGCCTCAGCCTCCCGGATAGCTAGGCCTACAGGCATGCGCCACCATGCCTGGCTAATTTTTTCTATATATTTTTAGTTGTCCAGCTAATTTCTTTCTATTTTTTTTAGTAGAGACGGCGTCTCGTTCTTGCTCAGGCTGGTCTCGAACTCCTGAGCTTAAACGATCAGCCCACCTCGGCCTCCCAGAGTGCTAAGATTACAGGCGTGAGCCACTGCGCCTGGCCAAAGGGCTTCTCTGTTAATGATATTAAGGAATATAATATAGAGATCTAAAATAATATGGGGATATTAGGATATCCCTATAAATAGAAGGGATCTCCCATACCTTAAGGCTATGAAACAATCAGAGCTAATATAGCAGCTGTCTGGTGATGGAGTTATACTCTGACCTATGCTGTAGTCAGCTTTAATTGGACATGGAGAAGGCGGGGAAATAGAGTAATTCATATTTCAGCAACATTTTGGGAGTCACCAGTGAGGGGACTGAAAACACGGATTGTTGGGGGAGGTGGGGAAAATGGCTTTAAATGTTTTCTGCATCTCCTGTACACCAGCTAGTAACTCAGGGGCTTTAGATCCCCGACCCCCTTTTTCTTTTGAGTAATGAAAAGGGTGTCTTAATCAAATTCCTGCAGTGCTGTAGCATTCTGCATTACAAGGTCTCAGGTCTCCTTTGGGGCAGAGTGAGGAGGGGCTGCGGGAGAGAGTGTTTTTACCAAATGAGAGTCAAAGGGAAACTGAGACCTTCATTTTCTTCATGGGAATGGCTTGTTAGGAAGAAGAAAGACAACACATGAAAGGTAATAGGTACCAGGTCTCTTACAAACACCTTTAGAACTATAGGTATACTCAATACCCATCATAACTTAGCCAGTTTTCCTTTGTATGCATATACAGTGGTGCTTAGGTTATTAACTTTTGACACAGGCCTATTGACCTTTTGGGTTTTCATCTTCCTTTGAAGAAACATCTTCAGTATCTTTACAACAGTCTTTTTCTACCCTTTAAAATCATGACTGGCAATCCCTGCTTTTTAAAAATAAATGTGAAAACCTCCTGCTTTCCTTTAATGGTCCTGAAGTTGCAAAAGTTTTTTCCTCCTCAAATATAGTTATAATATGACTTTGCTTTTCCAAACTACATTAATTTATTCATTTAACAAAAATTTACTGAGCACCTCTACTATGTGCTAAAAACTGCTAGAGAGAACTACTTAGACATATCATGTGTACTTTATCCACACACCCTAATCACTGCTTTAAGGAAGTCAGTTATTATATCCCCTAAAAGATTCCTTATGAGTTTGGGAGGGGAGGACACAACAGTCTGTTTGTAGAATCACATTGAATTTTATTTGGATTAAGGATATACCTGTTGTCCTTATTCTCCCTTTAGCAGTAATAGTTGTATCTCATTTCCCTTGGCTGTTTGGGAGAATCTGAATTAGAAACTCTTCAGAGTTAATTTCTTCTTCCAGGTTTTACCAAAGGAACTAATCTTAATCTTCTGTTTTACCATAATTCTAGAAGTGCTCAATGGCATGGGATGGGGGAGGTGGAGATCGACTGCAGCCGTCACTGGTCGGATATGGCCAGTGCAACTGTTTTCAAAATGTGATTCTTCCTGAGGATTTCTTGCTAAATCTCAGAACTTTCTGTATAACTCCATGCTGCTCTGCTGCTAGAGAGCTTATGAAGACTGGAAGTAAGGTGATGTACAGTGTTTTCGAAGACCTAAAGAGCTTGAGATGGTAGAATGTAACCAGATGTAGAATTAAAGAAAGCTGTCCTTTTTCCTTTGAGATTACGTCTTGCAGGATCACGGACTTTGTCCAGAAAGTCGTTTGGCTCTCCTTAAATTTATTCCGCATGGGCTAGATACACAGGCTGCCCCTCCCCCAGCCATATTCAGAGATGCCCCATATAATCTACAGGGCCAAAACGATCAGGATTGAATCAAACCTAGTTAGAACAATGAGACTTATCAGATTCTCTTAGTCTTTAAAGAGCTATCTACCTGGAGCCTTTCACAGAGAAATCAGTGGCTTTGAAAAAGTCATCAAAATCTGTTAAAAATGATATCCTTTTTGTTTGTTTCTTAGATAGAAGGCTCTGTATTATTGGTCCTTTCCCAAAAAATGCTTGTTAGTTTGCCATTATAAGTTCTTACTCTGTTGTAACGTAAAAATCCACTCTCCTTCTAACATGGTGCTTAACCCTTTGTAATCATTTGTTGAATTCCTTTCTCAGGATGCAAGTTAAGGACCTAGAATAGAATGGCCAGGTAAAATTAAAATTACTGTGACTTGTGTTTAGAGATTGCCAATATTTCAATTCCATTATGTTATTCTTATTCCATAATTATTTGTAGAACTAATAGAATCCAAGCGTTCTCACTCAGGGGAAAGAAATGACCTGAAACAGGTAGTCTGGGAGTGGCTAGGGTAGTCATCTGCTAGAGTTCTTTTCATTGTCTGTGTATGTCAAATGGAACATTTCTAACTAGCTTATTCTTAGAAATGAATTCAAGATTTAAATGTATTAAAAACACATTTTGGTTTTCTTCCAGTAAGTATTAATTTCCTAATGGACACACATTTTAGTTATTATTTTCCAAATATTCCTTTATTAATAATTGCAAAGCAGAATTTTAAAGTTAATGGGGAAAAGCCAGGTTTCGAAGCTATCCCTGGCTGCATTTGCAACATTCCTGTAATTGCTTAACTAGGCAGAAAGTGAATGGGGCCTGACTGCAGACCATTTTGCATAATCTTATAAAACCGAGCCTTGGGTGATGGTGTACGGGAGATGCAGTCCTGTCATCTGGTGTCAGTCAAATGTGGCAGTAATCATTTTTGTTTGTTTGCGTTGTTGTCATTACTGTTCTGTGTTTTTCCTTTCCTCTTTTGAGTTTTGCTTTTTCCTCACTGCTTTCTGACACCTCTCCCCCTCCTCCCCTCCTCCACACTCTTTTTAACTGCCTTTCTTTTGGCCATTTCTGTGCCTTGACTTTCCCATTTTGATCTCTGTACAGTCTGTTCCTTATTTCTCTAGTGGTTGTAGCTTCTGAGCTAACAGAATGCTTCTGTCGTGCCGTGTGTTTAAAGCCTTGATTTTACTGCTGTCGTACAAACTAAACTTGACGTGGCTGTTGGGCTGTTATTTACAGTTTATTTCTCTCTCTGCTGCACTGGTTAAAAGGACACTGTCAAGGTATTTTTTTCATAATTTTTCAAATCATTTTCCTCACTGTTTACAATAACCCATTAAAAGCTTGAAACTTAAATCTTTTCCTTTCAAAGATCCTCTCCATCATACATTCACACTGGTTTGTTGTTGTAGAGTTGCGCCTATATGTTGGGCTGGTGCCATTTGAGTTTTTGTCGTTGAAAGCGCATGTAAAACGTCAGTTTTTTGTGGGGAATGTGGGTGGACTAAAGGGGAAAGTGTAATGAATCAAGTGGGCTGCTCAGCAAACAGAGGGAAGAAACAAAAGGTCAAATTTGGTCCCTCTAACCTTGACAGTGTCCCTTTAAATATTTCTCTACCACACACCCTGGACCCCAGTTACTGAGCCTGAGTGCTGCATACTTTTTCAGAATGAACTTCCCTATCTGACTGGCACCCTGGCTGCAAAGATTAAAGCTTGTCTGAAGCAAGCCATCCAGTGGACACTGGAAGAGCTTTAATCTGTGCCATTTGCACACTTGGGTATTGGCACATTCTGCCTTATCATAGAGGCATATGTGATTGAGTCCCTCTTGCTGCTATAGCATCCTCTTGCCAGGCATTTTAGAAGCCGCATGTAGAAATGTCACCGTTTTGTACTCCAGGAAAAGAAGTCATGCACATTGCATCTGTGATCAATTAAGATCGCATAACTACCTAGATTTCTTATTGAAATGTAATTGTTTCCTTTTTGAAAGGAGCACCAGAGTTAGACTTTTAGAACCATCTTTTGTAGCGTCATTGCAGGAATCGTACTAGAAACATCAAGTTTCTGAGCAAAATTTTAGCATTGTTTGAGATGCTCTGTTATATTACCATTACATATCACATCAGTGAAGAAAGGTAACTGATGAGGAATAAATGAAATTCCTGACAAAGTCTCTTCCATTAGTTCTCATAGCTGTGTAATAAAAACATGTAGGATGTCCCTGAGAGTTCTTTTTTTGGCTATAGAGTTGAATGGATAGGTCAGATGTTTTTGATCCACCAAGTCCCAGGTACCACCCTGATATATAAATGGCACCAAGTATCCAAAGCCTCATTCTCTGCCTTATTTCTCAACACAAACCAGAATAATCTTAGAGAGTTAGGTTTTCTTCAGGCTAAGGGTGATTATCTAATTCACAAAGATATCCTGATCTCTCCCTTGTGTAATCTTTTAGAATCTGACATTTTAAATATGGTTTTGATTAAATCAGTTATGGCATCTGTCATGTTTACAGTTCCAAAGGAGAGTTGCAGTCCTCTTCCCTTCTTTTTTGCTTCAGATTACCCTTCTTGCCAGATTCTTTTTACCACACAGTGGCTCATAGAGTTAATTGTGTGATGAGTGAAGAAGCAGCTAGTGCTTGGAAATGCTCTGTTTAGTTGGGAAGGGCAAAAACTAAGGAGTTTCAAGTAAGAGATGGAGTCTTAGTGTGATGATTTTGTCAGCAGTCAGTTACTCTCATTGTAAAAGGTCATTTCCTCCTCAATCTCAGTGATTACTAGAGCTTACTTTCATGTTTTGTTTTTGTGTTACCAATTTTAGGTTCCCTGTAAAGTGAAATCTCATATCATACTTTGAATCCCATTTCCCAGTTGTTGCCCAGCTTATGGCAGAGGCTTGCCTTAGACATGCTTTTTTCCTTCTCTCGCTGCTGCCATGAATTCAGCAATGGGTTTGCAGATACCGTTCACTTTGGGGCTGAATCAAGCAGAGGGGATGCGTGTCAACTCAGTGATGGTATCGATAGGCAGGGACACAGCATGGCCCAGGAGCCTGGTCTTGCAGCTTCATGACCTGCTTTGCACTGTTCCCCCTTCATCCACCACAGTGAGGAGCCAGACCTGTGTCCTTCAGTTACTCGTAGTCTCTCTAGGAGCTTTGGACTTTCAACTCTGAGCTTAATGGTGCCATAAAACATTACTACTCTGCAAATGAATAAAGGTGCTAGTGTGTTCTTATCAACTGGCCATGAAATTCACTTCTCTTCCCTACTCCCGCCTGAAATTCTGTCATCTTTGAGGGGAAGCAGATACCTTTGGGCTTCTTATTTTCCCATCCTGTCCTTATTCTGAAAGGTCCTCAGGTGTGTTGACGTGGCTTTTGTTCTCTGGGACTTTTCTAGCGTGTCGTTTGCATGTCAGCCCAGCTCAGCTCAGTGCCCCTTATGCTCCATGTGACTTCAGTTAGCACCAGTGTAAATCTTGTGGCTGTTACTAGAGGTAGAGTCCTAGCTCTGAGGGCAAATGTGGGAGAAGAGGGAAATATCAGGGCCAAAACATTTCATATCTCATTTAAATGGATTTGACCACTTCATAGAAAAGAAAACTTGAATCATTGTCCTCAAAGGTTTCCCCTTTGAGATACATATTTGACCTTTGTAAACTGTAGAGCATTTGTGTTTTCATAGATGGTTATCTTTAGTCTTATAAGGACCAACTCTGCTATACTTCGGATTTTCAGGTTCCTAAAGAGAAAGATGAAATGGTAGAGCAAGAGTTTAACCGGTTGCTAGAAGCTACATCTTACCTTAGTCATCAACTAGACTTCAATGTCCTCAATAATAAGCCTGTGTCTCTTGGCCAGGCATTGGAAGTTGTCATTCAGTAAGTACTTTGACACTGCTTATTGTACAATAAATTCCATGTAAAGATTGGCTATTTATGTTTTAAGATTTTCAGCAAGTCTTATTTGAGCTAGTTTTCACTTATTTTCATGTGAAAACATTAAATCCACAAGTAAAAGAAGCATTTAAAATAATTACATGATCCTTAAGGCCTCTCTCAGTTCTAAAATTCTTGCCTTCTGTGGTATTGTATATATTTAACGTAGCGTAGAAAATAATTTGCCACCAGCCAACTTTCTTGTTCCTCAGTATTAGAGGTTTCAGTGGGCCTTGCCACCCTTGAGTGTTTTAGATGGACACCTGTCTTATGCTGCAGAGCTAACTGTGTGGCCGGGTTATACATATTGTCTCTCCTAGGTTACAAGAAAAGCACGTCAAAGATGAGCAGATTGAACATTGGAAGAAGATAGTGAAAACTCAGGAAGAATTGAAAGAACTTCTTAATAAGGTGAAATTCTGTATTTTCATCGCAGCTGAAGAAGCTTCAATGGAGGGGGCAATCTTTAAATTTGGAAATTGAAAAAGCAATTCTGGGTTTTTTTCTGTGTGGAAGAGGTCTGCATAGCTGGAACTCATTCTTAAGAAAATAATGACTAGCGAAAGGCATCGTTTTATCCGTCAGTCTTTCAGTCTAGGACTATTGATAAGTTGTTGCCAGGGGAAATAGATATTTCCTTGTGTCTGGTTCCCTTTAGTCTTCCCTTTAGCTGTTCCAAAGCTGTCCCAGTGCCCTTGGCTGAACTGTAGGATTAGCAGGAGATCAGCCGTACTGGGGCCAGGTTCCCATTGATACAGACCAACAAATCAGCAGCAAGTTCATTGCCATTATTATTTCTCCTGAGGTGCCAATATCCTCTACCTCCCTTCTCCAGCTGTGTGTCTGTTGAGGGCTCTTCTGTTCCTTCCAGAGCCCCAGGCTTTAGAGCATTAAGTCACCATTTGTTTCTCCTCATCCTGCCAGCTGCAAACGTAACATTAGCTTAGGGAGTAAACGGCACGGGGCAAGGGGAGAGGGGCAGGTGGTTCTAATGCAGACTCTGGGTGTGTGCACCTTGTGACTGGGCTCTCGCTTCACTTCGAGTTCACTTCAAGTTAAATTGGTAGTAGTTTGTTTTTCGTGGAAATTAAATTTATTTTAATACTGGAGGATTTTGTTGTTTGTTTTTAATGAAAGCTCCTTGCCCTTCTCCTTAGTTTTACAAGACAGAGCTAGTCTGTCTTATCTGATAGTGTTGTGATACCGCTATGTTAAGCCCGATAGGATTTTTTTTTCCTGTTTCCGAAATGGCATGATGTAGATTAGAACAGGTATTTAAGAACTCCAAGGATGGGGCCGGGCATGGTGGCTCACGCCTGTTATCCTAGCTCTCTGGGAGGCCAAGGCGGGCGGATCGTTTGAGCTCAGGAGTTCGAAACCAGCCTGAGCAAGAGCGAGACCCCGTCTCTACTAAAAATAGAAAGAAATTAATTGGACAACTAAAAATATATAGAAAAAATTAGCCGGGCGTGGTGGCGCATGCCTGTAGTCCCAGCTACTCGGGAGGCTGAGGCAGGACGATCACTTGAGCCCAGGAGTTTGAGGTTGCTATGAGCTGGGCTGATGCCATGGCATTCTAGCCTGGGCAACACAGTGAGACTCTATCTCAAAAAAAAAAAGAATTCCAAGGATGGGCAGCGCATCCCTGTTTTGGTGTGATAGCAGTTTAAGGGAGGAGCCAAACCCAAGGGTACATGTGATTTGAGAATGAATTATATTGCTTTCTATATTGTACTTTTCCCTCTTAGATGGTAAATTTAAAAGAGAAAATCAAAGAACTCCATCAGCAATACAAAGAAGCATCTGAAGTAAAGCCACCCAGAGATATTACTGCTGAGTTCTTAGTGAAAAGCAAACACAGGGATCTGACTGCCCTTTGCAAGGTATAGTATATATAATGCCTAACTGGTTTGACTTGGAATCCTAAGAAACAGTTCAGATCTGGGGAATTGGGAAAAGAAAGAGCTACTAGTCAATCACAAGTGCCTGTAGTACGAAGAAAGGGGTTTCGATACGTCAGGGGCCAGAGAGACTTAATGGGTTAGTTTGGTTTGAGATCTGCTTGTTTTGCAGAATTTCATCATTTTAGCTTGCTTAAATCTCAGTTTAGCTTTCTGAGTACCTATCTTAGTGCTAGGGACATGGTAAATGGGCAGGAAATAGTAGTTGCTATTATTTTTCTTCATAACTTTGTAGTATCCTAGTGTGTTTCCTTTATTTTCTCCTGCATGTTCCCCCTCTCCCTACTCCCCCAATCTTATTCTAGGTCCACAATTGTAACTTGTTTCCAAGAACAAAAATCCCTAAGCCCTAATCGCAGCCTTAAATTGAGCCACACTTCCTACACATGATCTGAACAGGAAATGATCCAGACCTTATACTTTGTGGTATAAAAAAACTAGGTAGATAATTTGATACTTCAGGATAAATCATTCACTTAATTTTATCAGGAATATGATGAATTAGCTGAAACACAAGGAAAGCTAGAAGAAAAACTTCAAGAATTAGAAGCCAATCCCCCAAGGTAAGGAAAACACATAAATGTTCAGAGTGATAGCTTTTACTGTTCTTTCTATGTCAGATTTAGGAGGAAAGTTATAAAGCACAATGGGCTTTTATTTATATTCAGTGAGTAGATTTCGAATTATTTAATGAATGGAAAATATCTGAAAATATGACTACTTCTAAGGTTTCTGATTAAATCCCCTACTCTTATATTTCAATGTGTGACAGTGTTGTAGGTATCTAAACAGATGGTTTTTAAGGAGATAGCCCTTCTCCATAAGATCCAGTATTTGGATGAAGATGTAGTAAATGGAAATTGTCTTATTTGAGTGGGGTAGAAGGTATTGCTGCTTTAAATCCATAATTCCGGGGACTAGGAACGTTTTATACTTCATTTCCATTTGACAGTGAATGCTGATCAAATAAAGTCTGTGCTTTATTTAAGATAATAAGACAACTTTTTTTTTTTTTTACAACTAATCTTTTATGATACAAGGTGACTTAGTATGAAGAAATCTCTTTTTTTCAGACATATGAGGCTCAACTGTAATTTGCCCTATGTAGTGAGCTTGGCACTGCTTTAGGCACCAGAGATAAAGGGGTTACTAGAACAGATAAGATCTTGCTTTTTTTACTTATTATTTCTTCACATAAGGCACAGTCCCAGCTTAGGTTCCAACACAGTTATTGAGATCACCCATGTTAGCTCATTGAGAATAGTAGTTATGCCTTTTAATAACCCTGTGCTCCCTTGTTCTTCTTTTGCAGTGATGTGTATCTCTCATCAAGAGACAGACAGATACTTGATTGGCATTTTGCAAATCTTGAATTTGCTAATGCCACACCTCTTTCTACCCTCTCCCTTAAACACTGGGATCAGGTAAATTTCTTTTATCATTTTTGTTGCATGTGTCTTTGAGAGGGCTCGTAAGAGAAACTGTTAATTTTGTGTATGTTTTTAAACAGCTTTAGTAGTAAGAGGTATCATTTACATACAGTGAAATTTACCCATTTTAAGTGAACAGTGTGATGATTTCCCGGACTAAGTCATACGCCACCACCACAATGAAGATCCAGAACATTTTGATTATCCTGAAAAGTTCTGTCTTGCCCCTTTGCAGTTAGTCCCTCATCCTCTGGCTCCTGCCCCCAGACAAACACTGATTTGCTTTCTGTCACTATAAATTTGCCTATTCTACAATTTCATATAAATTGAATCATACAGTCTGTAGCCTTTTGTGTATGTGTCTTATTTTACTTAGCATAACATTTTTGATATTCATCTTTATTGTTTCATATATCAGTAGTTCCTTTTTATTATTTAGTAATAAATTACATTGTATGGATAGACCACAGATTGTTTATCCGTCCATTGACTGGTGTGTTGACACACATTTGGGTTGTTTCCCTTTTTTGATTATTAATGAGTGAAGCTGCTTATGAATGTTTATGTCTTTCTCTTGGGTAAATACCTAGGAGTGGAATTGCTGAGTATTACAGAAAGATTTCCAAATCGTTTTCCAAATTTTCTTCCCACCAGCAATGTATGAAAGTTCCATTTGCTCCAAGTCCTCCCCAATACTTGGTAATGCCAGTTTTTAAAAAGTTAGCCATTCTAATGGATATGGTAGTATTTGTATTTCCCTGATGACTAGTGACAGCAGAGCATCTCTTCATGTGCTTATAAGCCATTCATATGTCTTTGGTGAAACGTCTATTCAGGTCTTTTGCTCATTTAAAAAGCCTGGTTGTCTGTCTTCATGTTGAATTATAAGAGTTAATTATGTTCTTTAAATTCTGTGCAGAAGTCCTTTGTCACATTTGTTTTTGCAGATATTGTCTTCTAGTCTGTGGCTTGTCTTTTTGTTTTCTAAATGGTATGTCTCCAAGAGCAAAAGTTTTTAATTTTATGAAGTCCTGTTTATAAACTTCTAGGCTTTGTGCATTTTATATCCTCAGTAATTTGTCTCACTTAAGGTCACAAAGATTTTCTCCTATATTTTGTTCCAGAAGTTTTGTGGGTTTATTAGCTCTTAGGTTTAGGTCTACAATCCATTTTGAGTTAATTTTTGGGTATAGTGAGAGGTGAGGGAAGGGTTCATATTTTTCAGTATGTTTATGTAATTATTCTAGCACTATCCTTTTCTTCATTTGTCTTGGCACCTTTGCTGAAAATGAGTTAGCCACGTGTGTTTATGGTCACTGCTTTCTGTTCATTCATCTGTATCCATCATACTATCTTGATTCTATTGCTTTGTAGTCAGTCTTGAGATCAGGTAGTGTAAGTTCGCCAACTTTGTTCTTTTTTAAAATTGTTTTGGCTATTTTAGATCTTCTGTATTTCCGTAAAAATTTTAGAATCAGCTTATCAGTTTCTATTAAAAAAAAAAAAACCTTCTGGGATTTGGATTAGGAGTGCATTGAATCCCTAGATCAACTTAGGGTGACTTGCCATCTTAACAGTATTGAGTCTTCTAATCCTTGAATATAGTATACTTCTCTATTAGATTTTCTTTAACTTATCTCAGCGATGTTATATAGATCTCAGTGGACAGGGCTTACCCATCTTTTGTTAAATTTAAGTGTGATTTACTCTTGAACTGGTGAGAAATCACAGGGCTTCTTTGATACTAAATGGACCAATCTCTAAATCCGAGACTTTGGCCAGAGTTAAGACTGTATGGAAGTAAACATTATATTTTTACTTACATATTTTAGTTTTCATTATACATTTTCCTAGAAAAATCATTTTGACTTCTTAATCTTTAGATTATAACCAGGTAGTCTTTAATATAATTACAGTGAGGGTCAGACTTGTTAGTGGCAAAAATCGTGCAGAATTACCAGTTCCATTATGGTTTTTCATTGTAAATCCTAAGGCCCTTTTAGTCATTGATTTATCACTTGAAGTGTCAGTATGTGTCTATTTGTGATGGTATTACATGTTGAATGTGAGTGATTTTTTTTTTTTTTGAGACAGGGTCTCACTTTGTTGCCCCAGCTAGAGTGCCATGGCGTCTGCCTAGCTCACAACAACCTCAAACTCCTGGGTTCAAGCAATCCTTCTGCCTCAGCCTCCCAAGTAGCTGGGACTACAGGCATGTGCCACCATGGCCGGCTAATTTTTTCTATATATATATTTTTAGTTGTCCAGATCATTTCTTTCTATTTTTTAGTAGAGACAGGGTCTCGCTCTTGCTCAGGCTGGTCTCGAACTCCTGACCTTTAACAATCCACCCACCTTGGCCTCCCAGAGTGCTGGGATTACAGGCATGAGCCACTGCGCCCGGCCGAATGTGAGTGATTTTAACTAATCTTTATGGGGAGCAGATGGGTCTGTCACGAAGTAGTGAGAGTTTTGCTGCCAGTCCAATATTTATCTAATTCCTAAAGAATTATGTTTTCCCCAAGAATTTTATGGAATTAGAAATATTATATAATATAAAAGTTTCTCTATATAGAAAAATTTTAAGTAAATTCAAAGAAATAAGATCATTTTGGGGATTCTTAACTTCCAGCCCAAATCTTCTTTACTATATGGATTATCTTGGGTCACTCTTTATAATCCTAGATTGCCTTTATCTAGTTTGATTAACTTTACTTTTGGAAGCCTTCCTCAACTTTAAAACCTGTAAATTTAAGGAATAAAAACTGGTTTTGTGCTTGGGTAAAAGAAAATGTAATTAGGACAGTGAATCTGATATCCTACAAATCTCTAATGCATTCACAAGCCAAATAAATAAACTTTAATAACATCTCATCATGAATTCCTGGATCATTGCTTTCCCCTATCTGTCCCTCCCCCATGGATGGTCTAGACTTGATGGTACAAGACTATGATAATAAAAACTATCTAGGTTAATAAAATGTGGTATATGTATGTATACCATGGAGTACTATTCGGCTTTAAGAAACAATGGTGATATAGCATGTCTTGTATTCTCCTGGATAGAGCTGGAACGCATTCTACTAAGTGAAGTATCCCAAGAATAGAAAAACAAGCACCACATGTACTCACCATCAAATTGGTCTTAACTGATCAACACATAAGTGCACATATAAGAATAACATCTATGGGATGTCGGGCGGGGGGAGGGGGCAGGAGGGGACGTGTATATGCACACACAAAGAGTGCGATGCGCACTATCCAAGGGATGGACGCACTTGAAACTTGGACTTGGTGGGGGTGGGCAAGGGCAACATACGTAACCCAAACATCTGTACCCCCATAATATGGTGAAATAAAAAAAAAAGGGGGGGAAATAAAATCTATCTAGGGAAAAAAGAAACTTCCTCAATCTCACTGCCCAAAGATTAGGGGGATTTTGGTGTTTTTTTCTTTTTTCTTTCAGTTTCCTTTGGCAGCTATAGCGTAATACTGAGTGTTCTTTAATTTCTGCTGTAAAACATTGACTGTGCAAGCTTGTGTTTTTCAGCATTGTCCTACAGAATTCGGTACAGATGGTATAGATTAGATTAAGAAAATGATGGAAATGCGTCCTTTTCTCTCCTCTTTAGGATGATGACTTTGAGTTTACTGGCAGCCACCTGACAGTGAGGAATGGCTACTCGTGCGTGCCTGTGGCTTTAGCAGAAGGCCTGGACATTAAACTAAATACAGCAGTGCGGCAGGTTCGCTACACGGCTTCAGGTACGTCGCTGCTTTGCAGGGAACGTTCCTCTCCTGAAACAGAGGACTCATCTTTTTGTTGAGATGACCTACAGCAAGAGTATTAGGTACATTTTCTACTAAAATGTTTTATAAACTATGATTTCTGGATAAAAATTTGCATTTACAGATAGGTGAGCCTATAAAATCTTTGGTGGTTCTAACCCCCCTCATTTTATAAACCAGAAAATTGAGGCAGGTTTTAGAGTTTCCGATTTGTGCGTGGACTAGTTTGGTATTACCAGTTGAGTATTCCTAATCCAAAAATCTGTAATCTGAAATGCTCCTCCAGGGAGCATTTCCTTTGAGCGCCATGTCAGTGCTCAGAAAGTTTTAGATTTGGGTGAGCCAGTGAGTTTGGATCTAATTTTGCTGAGTATTTGTAAATACCAGGATTTTGGCTCCTGGGCTCCAGTGGGCCCTACCCCTTCTATTTCACTATCTGCATCTTGGTCTTTGGATCCATTCTGGCTTTTCCTATTCCGGTGGGCTAATTTGCTCAGGCTAGTTCTGGAGCAGTCCTGCTAATAAGCTGACTTCAAAGATGGAGTTGCCCTGTGATTCCTATGGGGAATCAACATTATTGTTGTTGGTTTCCGAGTACATTGAATGTGAAGTGCAGAAAACTGCTGCATCCTGCACTCCTTAGGATAACTCGTCACTTCTCTCTCTGAAGGCCCTTGTGTGACTGCCTAGGCATGAGAAGTGGAGACGTAGCTACCAGTCTTACCCTTTGTGGCCCCTTTCCTGGAGTTGCTGAGATCACCAGCAGCCACTGGAAGTTTTCCATCAGAGGCAGCTTCTAGCTGACGGTGTTGGGAAATCTGTAACCTTTAGTCTTTTGTAGTCAGATGGAGAACAGTGACAGTAGCTGTCGTCATTTCCCCTAGTTCCACAGCCACAGAAAATGGGCATGTACTGAGCTCTCATACTTATTTTGAGCTATCCATATATATATTTTTAAAAATTATATAAATAGTCATTAAAAAAGGAAAAATGATGTTAACTTTAGTGCCCTTTTTGAGGTCAACTTTGAGCTCGTTCGTATTCTGACGAGCCGAGTGGGCATCACAGCGTGTCCTCGAGAAGAGCGTGCTGCGCAGGGGTAGGCTGCATCCCTCAGGTCTGCATCACGGTCTTCTGGTGCCGTTCTTCTCTCGGTTCTCAGTGAGCAGCTAACCACAGTGGAAGGGCATCGGCTCTAGTGGGATTGACATTTTACTCTTACTTGTGGTCTAAATTTATTTTGGTAAATGCTAAGGTCCTTTCATGAGTCCAGAAAGATCGCCAGGAGGGTAGTATGGGGTGACAATTAAGGACTCTAAAGTTGACAGTGAGGGTTTAAATCATTAAATCCTTAGATGAGTTACTTGACCTCTACATCAGTTTTCTTATGTGACACATGACGATGATAAAAATAGATAATACAGACTTACAGTCAGAATTAAGTGAGAGAGAGGTAGATCCTCTCGTGCCGTCAAAGTTCAGTGCCCTCATCAGAACCGTCGTCATCACCAATAAAGTCTTTTCCCACCAACCTCTGTAGGATGCGAAGTGATAGCTGTGAATACCCGCTCCACGAGTCAAACCTTTATTTATAAATGCGATGCAGTTCTCTGTACCCTTCCCCTGGGAGTGCTGAAGCAGCAGCCACCAGCTGTGCAGTTTGTGCCACCTCTTCCTGAGTGGAAAACATCTGCGGTGCAAAGGATGGGATTTGGCAACCTTAACAAGGTAACTAGGTCTAGGCATCTTTCTCTGCATACCCAGTGTGCAAATATCATCAGTCTTGCCGTCTTCTCCTCAGCGAGGAGAGGGGTGTGCACTTCCGTGCATTCGGCTGTGCTCTCAACTGCGCTATCAGGGCTGAGGCCTGTCAGTTCATTCCCTTCAGTGCTTAATTATAAACTATCCATGCAGGCTTCGTCTTGGGGTCATTTTACAAACCCAGGCCTACAAAAAGAGGGTCATAAATGTTCTCCTAAGTAATACATTTATAATAGGGATTTCTGGGCTCAAGTTGAAAGCAGATTATAAGAGACTTTAATAAAGTCTCTTTATGAGGAAGAAGTACTTCTGTTGGTGTACAGCTATGCTTAAAGCCGTATTATCTGAGCCCCGTCACCAGCTCATGTGCTCCTTTCTTATGGTAGGTGGTGTTGTGTTTTGACCGGGTGTTCTGGGATCCAAGTGTCAATTTGTTTGGGCATGTTGGCAGTACGACTGCCAGCCGGGGTGAGCTCTTCCTCTTCTGGAACCTTTATAAAGGTAAGTCTTCTAGTTTTAATGTTTTTCACATCCTTTTAGGAAAATTCTGGATTTTCTCAAATATATATATGCCTTAATTTCTCTTTTCATTAACTCAACAAACAATTCCTGAAATACCTTTTAGGTACTGAAAATATGGGGAGGAAAAAAAATAAAAGCCCTCAGGGAGCTCACAGCCTAGTGGTGGGTAGAGTAGGGAGGCAGGCAGTCCCAGAACAGGGCACCAGGGAGAGCGACAGGCTGAAAAAAAGAATTAACTCAGCCAGGAGGGACAGGTTCAGGGAGGCTTCCTGGAAGGGAAAACTTGTATTCCTCATTCTCAGACTGACTTGCCCCTGAATCTTTGAACACTTCCCTTAGAATGTATCTATCACACTCCCACCTCCTGCTCACCTATTTTATTCTGTAATTGGACTACTCTTAATTCTGTATAGACCTAAAGAAAGCATATTTGTACCCTTTCCAAGAAAGGGCTGTGGAACAGTGAGACATCCTGCCACGCAGCAGGACCGAGAGGCGTGGCCTCGACCACACAGACACAGCAGTTAACCAGCGCGGCGTCCACCCGCACTTCTCTCCGCCACTCCTCGCTGCCCGACGGGGAACCGTCCTTCACACTCTGCGGCCTCTGACTCCACAGAGCACGTCGTTTCTGACACAGCCGAGTGTGTGTTCGCTTCCCCATCCAGGCCACCACGTCCTGTCAGTGCCAGCTCATGATCGCTCTCAAACCTGCTGACTTTTCTTCTGCTGCCCACCTCCCAGTCCAGGCCACTCTCACCTGGGCGGGTCCCAGTAGCTACTGCAGATACTCCTGCTTCTCTTGGTGGCTTTCCATCGCTGAAAGAAAACGTTCACACTCCTCACCCTGAGGCCGCTCGTAGTTTAGCCCATCTCTGCGTCTTCGTCCGTGCCCAGCCCCTTCACCCGCTCCATCGCCGGAGTCCCCGCACACACACCTGCCTGCTCTCCGTGCCTGGAGTGCGCTCTGCTGCTTTCTACCTCAGAGCCTCTGCGTGGACGGTGGGCTGAGCCGGCTGCTTTTCTTTCTTTCCTTCTCTGCTTCCCAACCTGGTGCACTACTTAGGCTTCAGGTTTCAGGTCTTGACCTGAATGTCTGTATTTCAAAGAGGCCTTCCAGGACACACATACCCCACTGCCATGACGTGTATGCTTTTCCCTGTATCCTGTGTGTTTCAACATAGCTTCTATCACAGTCCATAATTATCTGTGTAATTACTTATCTGTCGCTCTAATGGGGTATATAGCCCAGTTCACATCCCCATCATCCAGTACCGTGCCTGTCACATAAGTCTGTTGTGTAAATAAATATTCACCAGGTGGGTGACTGAGGACAGTGATGGGCTTGGAGGGGCCTGGGATAGCAGCTGTAAGGGATGTCACCATCGTCGTGGAGCTATCTAAGGTATCAGGGCTAACGAAGAATTCTGTGCCAGAATGCAGGGATCCCTGTCAGTTTTCTTCCGTTAGCGAGGTTTGAGATACCGTCAGGACTGCCGTGTTCTGCGCAGTGGAAGCAGTGAAGTGCCTGCGAGTCACACGGGACTCGCTGTGGCCTACCAGCTCCCTTCGAGCCAGGTTTCGAGGATAGGTTCAGTTTGCTGTTGCAGAAAGGTAACTTGTCTCTACCGTCTGAGTGACGCTCCAGGTCTCTGTCGTCGGATTTCATCGCACCAAGAATAAAGTGGGACCCCATAAGGAAGTTCTTGAGAAAAGTCTGTAGGAAACCCCTGGAATTGTCCTTTTTGTTTCCCCAGCTCCAATACTGTTGGCACTAGTGGCAGGAGAAGCTGCTGGCATTATGGAAAACATAAGCGATGATGTGATCGTTGGCCGATGCCTGGCCATTCTGAAAGGGATTTTTGGTAGCAGTGCAGTGCCCCAGGTAAGCAGGTGGGTGGGGCAAGTGGGATCTGGGGTTCAGACCGAACCAGGGTTCGATTTATTTGTAGCAGAGGTTCTTGGTCAGAACAGTTTCAGCCAGAATTGAGAAGTGCATGCTGGGTTTACGTGAATTATTAATGTTCGGAGTTCACGCCCTCAAATGTGGGGTTCAGAAAGGTCCCCCAGTACATTGGCTGGGGAATGTGAAGGCTGTTAGCCACATTCCTCCTCTGCCTGCAGAGTCACCACCCCCTGCCTTTTAGACAAAGCGGCCAAATGACAGTGAGTATCTCAAGGAAGTCTTAAGAGAATCTCTTTGTACTGTTTTCTGTTTTTTAGGCCCATTGAAATACTTGAACCCCTTATTCCTTTGAAAGAAGGCCTATTAAATACTTGATGTGAATTTACAGAACAGAGTAAAGATCAAGTCCCATTTAGATCTCTGGATTCACAGACAAGAACGCAACAGGAGGCTTCCTTGCTGTCTGGTCATTGTGCCCCAGTGTATTTCAAAGCAGAATATTCATCACTTGGCTCTCGTGTCTCGTCACTCTCTCTGTCACTTGTGCAACCCCGCCCACCACTGCTTTTCTGCCTTTTAGATGACTGGTTTTCCTTGGTGACTAGTAATGACTTTTGCTCATGGTTTTTCCTTTAGCCCAAGGAAACTGTGGTGTCTCGTTGGCGGGCTGATCCCTGGGCCCGGGGCTCCTACTCCTACGTGGCCGCAGGATCATCTGGCAATGACTACGATTTAATGGCTCAGCCAATCACTCCTGGCCCCTCAATTCCAGGTGCCCCTCAGGTGAGAAACTGGCAAATTATCCGGGCTTATTTGGGAAAAGGCCAAGATCTCAGGGTAAAAATGATGTCACCTTCTTTTTTAGATTTTAATCATTCTGTCCTTGGACCCTTTCGTATAACCAAGAGCAGAGGAAAAGAGATGAACAGTATTATTTGTGTCTGATTTCTCATATTTTGGCTTTGTAAATCTAGGCAGTCTATATTCAAAACGGAAGAGTCCTGAATATAAGTCAGTAACTTTTTTTCTTATTTAGTATTTCCTCTAAAAAACAAAACTATTTTTAATTCCAACTCATTTTGTAGTGGCTCATAGGATTGTTGCAGGATCTCAATCACTAGGGGCGTCCAGGGCATGCCCCTGAGGAATGACCTTGGGTCCTTCTCTAGACCTTGGTGCCAGACCCTGCACCAGAGAGCGGTAAGGGTTCCTCATGTAGAGCTCTGTGCTCCAGAGCAGTTAGGCTCCCCCAAGTAATTACTGCTAAAATTGAGGATCAGTAAATTGATAAGCAGGAACAGAGTCCTTAATAAACATCACTCTAGAACTAGAGCTGGCCTGAGTTTTATTGTCCCATTTCTGCCTCTGTCAGTTCTAGGAAAATGCTTGCTGATGAGGGAGACTCTGGTAGAACGATGAACAGTAATTGGGATGGGGGGGATCAACCTTCAGAGGTCAAAGGGAATTTGGAAGTTCAAATACAACAAAAATAAAGGCATATTTGTAACTTGCTGATTTTCCTTTTCCCCTGAAATAGCCAATTCCACGACTCTTCTTTGCGGGAGAACATACTATCCGTAACTACCCAGCCACAGTCCACGGTGCTCTGCTGAGTGGACTGCGAGAAGCCGGAAGGATTGCGGACCAGTTCTTGGGGGCCATGTATACCCTGCCTCGCCAGGCCACACCGGGTGTCCCTGCACAGCAGTCCCCAAGCATGTGAAACAGATGCATTCTAAGGGAAGAGGCCCACGTGTGTGTTTTGCTATGTAAGCAAAGTTCTTCTAGCAATACTAGATTCCACTGAGAAATTCCCGTCTTGGAGGCTGGGCTCATGATGAGCTGATGGAGCTCCTGATGTGACAAAGGAGGTTGCTTCCTTTGAGTGACTTAGAACATAGGGAGGAACTTGTCCATTAGTTTGGAATTGTGTTCTTCATAAAGACTGAGGCAAGCAGGCAAGTCTGAAATAACATCTTAGTCTCTTGGTTATGTGGTGGTTTTTTTATATTTTGAGAATAAAACTTCATATAAAATTAGTCCTCTCTTCTCTTTGTTTCCCTTTTGGGTTGGAGTCCCATGTAAGACAGGAGTGTTACTTCCCGCAGGGACTGTGCGGTGGTGTGCCAGGAGTGTGGATGTTAGAACACTCGGTGGATTTTTATGATAAAACACAAGACTTGAAACCAAGTTTGGGCCTCTGGCAGACCATTCTGACTTTATTTCCCAGATTTTCTCCATGGGTTTGCGTTAACTTTCGAATTCTATTAAAGGTATTGGTGTAAGGAAGTTTTGGGAAGTATTGTATAAGGAGATCAAGGACTTAGGTAACTTAGCTGATGTAACAAATTACCACAAATTCAGTGGCTTAAAACCACAGAAATCTGTTCAAGTCCTGGATGCCACAGTCTGAAATGGGTCTGCAGGGCTGCGTTCATTTTGGAGGCTCTGAAGGGGGAGAACAGCTCATTTCCTTGCCTTCGCTGGCTCCTGGTGGCTGTCTGCATGCCTCGCCTGTGGCCCCGCCATCCAGTCTCTGCTTCCATCGTCACGTTGCCTTTTCTTCTGTAGTCAAATCTTGGGTCTCTCTTATTAGGATATTTGTGATTACATTTAAGACCCGCCTGGATAATCTATAATAATCTCCCTCATCTCAAAATCCTTAATCATACCTATAAAATCCTTTCTGCCTTATAAGGCAAAAATATCTTTACAAGAAGGGAGTAATAGTACCTGTTAGTACCTGTTCCTTCCCCCAAGAGCTCCTAACAGATATAACTATGTTATTAATACTACAAGTGTGTGTAATGTTGTCCCTTAAATGAGCTTTTACTCTTAGTAGGATTTTAAGGGACATTATATTGGTAGTCTGACTGGAAGATGAAAATGGAAGAGACCCTTTTTCTCTAGTCTTGGAATGGGTGACAACAGTGGAAAAAATCCATGCACCGGGATCAGGGTAAGTGGTGTAACTGATGAAAAGGTGAGAACAGTGCGCTGCGGAAGTGCGTGGGTTTTGGTGTGCCATCTGTATTCGAACCCCAGCTGTGCTGTTAACATTGTTACCTCGGGTGAGGTTTGGTGTCAAATCCAGTGGTAGGTGCTCTTAAGAGTTTTTGTTTTTTAAATAGATGGCACAGGCAACGTGACAGATGAGTGGGTTTTTTTGTGACAATAGACAAGCCTGAAAATGTAGCAAAGAAATAGCTTTTGATTCTAACTCTACAGTTATGTTGGTCCTAGGCATGTCCTTTTCCAGGACTTGGCTAACATTTCCAGTCCTTACAGCATCAATAATTGGCTAGGTATTTTGTTTTTGTTTGTGCTTTTTGTTAGTTTGTTTTGAGATATGGTCTTGCTCTGTCGCCCTGGCTAGAGTGCAGTGGTGTCATCACAGCTCACTGCAACCTGAAGCTCCTGGGCTCAGGTGATCCTCCTGCCTCGGCCTCCTGAGTAGCTAGGACTACAGGTGCACAACACCATGCCCACCTAAGTTTTCTATTTTTTTGTAGAGACATGGTCTTCCTTTTGCTCAGTCTCCAACTCCTGGCCTCAAGTAATCCTCCCACTTTGGCTCCCAAAACGTGAGCCACTGCGCCCAGCCCTGGCTAGGTATTTTAAATAAAATAGAGTGAAATGTACTAGCTGCACCAATGAATAAGGAACAGCTATATTGCAGAGATATCAACAAAACTGGCATCACTGACTCACAAATCACACAGCATATGGAAACTAGGGAGCTTTATTGGTTACATATTGTGCTGCAGAGCCAACAGAGAGCATTAGAGCCAGAGGATACATGCAGACAGGCAGCTTCAACTATATACATGCACCCAAGGAGCCCTGAGCCACTGCTCACGGCTATGCCCTGGTTTCCAGTGACAGGTTCTGGCCTCCTTGGTCCCATGCTTGGAGCAGGAATGTAGAAGCTGCTGCACCTAGACTCCAGGGGCAGGGCTCTGAGACCAGAGCACCTGCCCAAGCAAGTAGGTGTGGACCAACAGACTAATGCCCCCAGCAGAGGGGCCTATAATGCAATAACAGTTTTATTTGAGGACTACTTTCCTAGCCCTCGCAATCTTTAAAATACAAAAAAATAGACTATTCTCTTAAAAATACATTCCATTCAGTATATGTTCTGAGCTGTGAAGCAGCAGGAAAATAGGGCCCCTTTCCTATGATCTTGGTTGTGAGGCTTTGAGAAGCCTGTTCCCCACTTGGGGTATTCAAAAGATAATCCCTAAAAGCAGCTCTTCCAAGCAGTCTTGTCAGAGTAACAACAACAAAAAAAACCCATACCAACAAAGGCAGCCAAGGACCCTGCCTCTGGGTCCCCCGTTCCTTTACTGGGAAGTGGTGACACTTGGCACTGACCACTAACTATAAAGAACTAAAACTGCCCCAGGACAACATGTCCAAGAACACTATAGACACTCCCCCCACCCCCCAATCCCTAGCACCCCATGAAAGGGGGATGATTTATGTGCAAGCTTGCCTGCATTGGAGGTTGGCTCCTTGGCCCCACTGCAGATCCCTTTAACCCACGCTGTTAACAGCTGCTTTGTCCACCACCAGCTTTCTCTGGTTGTTTTAGTATGACTGGCAAGAGGTGGCAGAGACTAGCTGCTGGCATTTCGCCAGCTCTACTTGTTCCAACCAAGCAGCTCTAGTGCCAGGTTCCCCAACCTCACTAGAACCCTCCAAAACCACACACCTGCTGGTAAAATTTAAGAGTTAGAGCCAAGCTGCAGAAGCGGCTTGTCATAACAGTGGGTTTGATGGCTAGGACAGTGGGATATTTGGCTTGATTAGATAACTATTCAACTACCAGGTCGCCCCTGTCTTTGGAGGCTTCCTCCAGGACCTCTGATCACGGGGCCTGGGTCCAAACAGTCACACCTTGGTTGCTTCTCAGAAACGTGCCTTCCAACTTTGGAATTTGAGAGCCAGCCTTGCCAGCCATTTGAAGCCCAGAGGAACTAAGCCTCCAGCCTTCACTTGCTATTACAATGTTATTGTCTGCAATGCTGAGGACATTTAAAAATAAAACCTATTTTACAACGGTTCTAGAAAATGTGCAGATTAAAGAAACAAAATATTTATCCTGAAATAATTGTTAACAATCAAACCCTATTGCACTCAGATTTCAAGATGGCAGCCCCAGCAAAGGGCACCACAGCTGTGTCCTCTTCCACAGAGCGTCTTGAATAGCAGCACACATTGGTGCTGCTGAACTGTGGAAAGATCCAGACTTTGGCACCAGGAGCTACAGCACCAGAATCCAGGGCTCCAATACCCAAAGACAAGAATTATTATTGTGAGATCTTTTTAAGCATGGCTTGGCGCCCGGCGCCCTTCTGTTTCAAGCAGAGAAGAGCCACAGACTTAATTTCCTATGCCTTCAGATGACCACCACAGAGGTCGATCTCCTTTGAACTCAGGGTTGTAGCCAGTGAAGGAGAATAGCAGGGGGGCTGCAAGTGAAGGGTTGCACCTTAAGGGAGCTAGTTTCTGGCCAGTGACTAAGGAGAAGCAGCAGGAAGAAATTTTGAAAATAGCATCTTAAGTTGAGCATCTGAGGTGGGGATGTGGAGAAGAAAGGCAAGCCATGTGACAATGCCCTTAGATTGGCAAAACTCCGGAAAATAGAAGTGTGAGCAATACATTGCTGTCTCTGAGAGTAAGGTAGGTGCGCCCCCATCGGGATTGCCAAGTCTGATGCAGACAAGGGCAGGATGAATACTGGTTCCCATGCTGGGTGGAGACAGAGAAAATGACTCAGATTCCTCTTGAGGAAGTCTTGAGTCTTCCTCTTGCCAGGAAGTCACAGGAGATGCACAAGAACAGGAGAGACACAGACTTGTGTCATGGAAAGCACCCTCGCCTGAAAACCAGAAGATAACTGTGTGGCACTGGGCAAGGCTGATGCCACAAAGGGCCTCAGAGACCATCTAACCTAATCCCTTCACGTTACAGACTGGAAAACTGAGGCCTAGGGAACTTCTCTAAGCTCATCCCCATGAGATTAAAACATGGGGAAACTAGAAAACATAAGGCCCAGGAAAACAATCGCAGGCAGGAGGGAAGACACATTCCCCAAACCCACGTGGATGATCCTTCCAAAAGCAGGAATCATCACACACTGGACAGTAAAAACAGAAAAACCTTAGAATACCGGATGTGGGGCCCTTAGACACCATCCATTTCAAAGAACTCATTTTACAGACTGGGAAACTGGGGCTCCAAGAGGACAATGACTTGCCCAGGGTCACACAACAATGAAGTAACAAAGCCATGGGGAAAAAATGCAGTTTTCCAGCCTCCTAATGCTCTCGCTATGAAGGCAATTGCATGTGCTTTATAAAGGTAGCCTTTGAAAGGGGATCCCTTCTTTGAATTGAGAGAATGCTATAGAAAAAGCAGTGCCAAAACATCCAATTCTTTTTGACTTCCCCAAGTGATTGGTTGGTATAAGGAAACTAACCAATTTTTATTTATGTGGCTTCCTGAAAGGTTTGCTGCATTGTCAACTGTATAAACCTGAGGCCCTCAATGGGCATGTATCATCTTTCCTCCAATGAAGTCATCATCGTGATAGTCAACTTGCAGAAATCACGGGCCCACTTCCGTAGGAATGCATCAGCTTGGTAAAGTGCAATGCCTCCTCCATGGGGGATGAAGGAGGAACAGGAGGGAGTATTCTCATAGTCCATGCCTTTCATGGAGCTATTGCTTATGGAGTGACTAAAGGGAAGTTGCTTCTTCCAGTCTGCTTTCCCCTTTGCTGGGCACTTCCTCAAAGGCAGAGTATGCTAGGTCAGGCCCAGCTTAGAGGGAGTTTCCTAAGGTGGAAATGATGAAGTCAGCCTGAAGTCTCCAGCCACAGGAGAGAGAACAGGCGATGCCAGCAGCATTACTGGTGCCCAGGGAAGGAGATGCACATGGCTTGTGCACTTCCAGGTGCCTTTGAAGGTGAGCAGGAGAGCTGGGGTTGGGGAGGGATGATGTCATTCCAATGGGTATCTGCAAGCTCTGGCCCCAGGAACCAATGGCCAGCCAGGGCCAGGTCAGACAAACTTTAACCTAAAGCGTAGTCCCATAATCCAGCCCTTTGAGGCAGCACAGCCCTCTTCTGCTTTAAAAGTCTAAGGAAAGCCCCCTAGATGGAGCTGATGGCTGGTAAGTCTTGGTATTTGAGCTCTTAGGGCAGACAAGGAGTGAATTAGATGTGGTGAGGACACTAAGAAATCAGAACTTTAACCACACAGACAAGGGGCTGCTCTGTGATACAGAAACAACCCACCAAGGAGCAGAGAAGAGCTTTTGACTGCTGCCGTATGGTGGGGGATTTCTACATCTTTCCCCATTTAGGGGCCAGGATGATCCATACTACCTGGGGGACAGGGACAAGGAAAGAGGACTCATGCATCAGGGAAGGCTGGGCCTGGGTGACTGTCCAGCTTGTAGTCTGATTCCCTCTGGCCAACTGGCAAAAATGACCTGAGCCATAGCCTGGCTCTCTTATGGTCTCTCCCAGCCAAGGCCTTGTGTCTAGCCTGGTCAACTGGCCTTAGATCCTTCATAGGGCAGGAAGGTGGAAGAGCAGGAGCAGAGGAGAGACAGCAGACCTCATCCAGCTAGCTCAGTTTTCCTCAGCACAGGGCCTGGTTGGCCGTAATCGTTCCTCGGCCCGTACTCGTCCAGACTCTGGCAGCCCCTGCTTCGTGGGCAGTTCTGACTGTTCCAGGGAATTGTGCAGTCGCTTGTAGACACTGAGTGTGCAGTCTTCACCTTCCTCCTGTGCCAATAAATAACAAAAGTGAGCTGTGGAGGACAGTACAGTGAGGAGTAAGACACCTTCATCTCCTACCCCAATGGGTCCTCTCCAACCTGGCATAGGAAGATACAGCCCAGACTGTAGCGTAACTGCAAAGACATGCTTTTGCCTGAGTATAGGCCAACATGTAAGTTCCTTGGAAATCAGGATAGACTAGGAACTCCAAGCTGCTGGGAACAACCAGGGTAGATGAGGAGGCTCACAACTGAACATGAGTCCTATTGAGCCTGAAATGGGAGTGTGGGAGTGGTACCCCTAAGTAGGCACCAGCAGACCGTGAGTTCTGTACATGCAGACTGCATGCTTTTGGGGGTGAGATCCATTTCCTTGGTGGGGAGCAGAGGAGTATGCTGAAAAGAGGGTTGGATAGCTTTCTCTACTTCCCACCTATAAACTACCAAAAACCTCACATGCCTTCCCTTTTATATTCTATGCCTGTCCCTCATCTGAAATCTCTCAGACGTCCAAAGCTTCAGGGGCCTAAATAGCCATCTTTCTCCCTACTCCTCTTCTAGAATGCTACCTTTTTTTATAATATTCTCCTTGGTCCTCCCAAGCAAATGCAGATCAAAGAAAAACACAAATGTGAGAAAGAAGTTGGGGTGCAGAACCTGTGGCCTTGGGGCCACATGTGGCCTTCTGGATCCTTGAGTGCAGCCTTTTGACTGAATCCACATTTTACAAAGCAAATCCTTTTAATAAAGAGGGCCACATAAGGCCTTAAGGCCATAGGTTCCCCACCCAGCATAGCAAGGGCATTGGACTTAGACACAGGAATCTTGGATTCAAATCTTAGCTTTCAGTAATTCACCTGGGTGACCTTGGATAAGGCACTTTGTGTCTCTGACCCTTAGCTTCTGTATCTGAAAAATGGGGACAGTATCTGTCCACAAGGCTGTTTGAGGGACTGAATGAGACAGGGCGTAGAAAAATACTTTGTCAAGTGTTAACTACCCTGTAAAGACAGACGGGGCTTTTCAAGTTAACATGGTCACTTGCCTTTTTAATGAAGGGAGCAGTGTGTCCAGGTCCAAGATGCTTTTCATCATCACTGGTTCCACATTTAAAAGACACTCCTGGGGGATGTTCTGACACTGACCCACACGTAAGGCAGGTGGCTCTGGATTTATCTAACCTGTAACGTACCATACTGAACCAGCCCTGCCCTCAGACTGATGATACAATGGGACAGACAGCTGTCTGGGGCAAAAGAAGTATCACTTGGCCTTGGGTATAAAGCTTATAAAGTAGGCCCAGCGTGAGCCCTAGCTCTGCTCATCCCCTGTATGCTGGCAGCCTGCGAAGATCTGCTGTCTAACTGAGGCAGCCAAGAACTTGTTTAACTGGTCCCATCTCTGCTCTACAGAAAAGGCACTGGGCCTCCTACTGTCACCCAGAGCGTCCCATCAGCTGTAGCTGGTGTTTCCAGGTGCTGCTCTGTGAGACCATAAGGGGAGCTCCTTTGGCTGCTCTGGCAAACCAGAATAGAAGACAAACTTCCTTTTGTGTCACCTTCATATAAGAGGGAAAAATGAAGAAGACAAATTGGAAAAGAGATTTTGGAAAGTTATGCTGCTCTCTGCCAAAAACCTTCAGGTCAAACTCACCTGATCTTCAACAGTTAGTTCTCTGAGCTACTGGTTTTATTCAGTGTTTCCCAACCCCATGGTTCCCAGAATCCTGGGTCACACAGGCCAGGGCAGAGGGGAGAAAGTAAATAAGAAAAAGGAAAGGAGGAAAAGGGAGAGACAAAGGGGAGAAAAAGAGGGGAGAGAAGGGAAGAAATGGGACTCACTGTGCCTGCTGAGTGGTTCCAGGCTGCAGCCATGACAGTGTCTCCTACCCGATTCCGACGGGTGAGCACCTCCGACACAGTGAGGCTACTTTGGGTCCTTCTGGAGGAGAGCTCGGGGGCATCCCCTGAATTTCCTACCCTTCGAATGCCCTGCTCCAAAAGGTAGGATCTGGGCTGTTCAAGTTCTGAGATGTCTGTGGAAGACCTCTGGATGTAGGCATTGGTGGGTTCCATGATTTTACCTATTCGAGTTGAGGGGTCTTCTAAAGATTTCAAGTCTCGCCTACTCTTCCAGGCATTCCGCACAGTAACGTGTCTGGCATCTGAGGAGCCCACTTCTGAAGGGACATTATGGCTTTTCCACCTGATTGTCTCCGCTGGGGGTGCATGGCTATTCCTCTCCACAGGGTCCGACGGCTTGATTATAATGCTGCTCCGAGAGACCACTGTTTCTGGCCTGTTCTTAAGGGGCCCATCTCCCATTCTCTCAGCTTCTGTGAGCTGCAGGGTGATATCATGTTTATGAATGGAGAGCTCAAAGGGGGAGTTGACATGGTTGCTAACCGATGTGAGCTCTGGCGGCCCAACCTGGATATTGCTGGTGGACGTGTGCCTCTCCCTTGGGGCCTCGCCTGGGGTGGCTCTAGGGCTGCTGTTGTCAGAGGGGTAGATAGTAATGCTGCTTGTCACTTTGTTTGGCCCTGTTTTGGAGGTAGGTTTCTGTTTCTCCAACAAAGCCTCAGTTCCAGATCCTCCCATGATTTTTTTCACATCCTTATCAATGATAACAGGTTTGATGACAGCTCTAGACCGCAAGGCCTCTCTGGGGCTAAATGGCCTTTGGCTTTTTACCCCAGCACCATTGGCATCTAGGAATTCCACGGCATTGGTGGATGCTCTGACAGATTTCACAGATTCATTTTCTATTCCAGTATCTTTATCATTCTCAAATGGGGAGGTCCTAGGTCCCCCTCGGGATTTGGCCTTTTCCCTGGAGTTAGGCTGTGGTTTGGGCTCTGGCTCTGGAGTGATGGTTGTGTTTACCAGCTTGGCAGTAACAAGAGATGCTATGTCCAAGTCATCATCTGAGTCTGGCTTCTCTCTGCCACTGGATTTGATGACTCGACACCTCAAGGCTTCATGTTGACTGCTGTCTTCCATCATAACTGCTATGGGTTGATCAACTCCTTCTTTATTTGGGGATGAAAAGCCCTGGAGGATGTTCTCTTGGCTTCTGGAGCTATAAGGATACTTTGATAAAATAGGAGCCTTAGAATTTTGGGAACTGGTATCAGCCTCCAGGCCATTGGCAGCCTTTTTGCCTTTAGAGAGCCCTTCTGAGGAGGATCTTCGAGATGAAGCCAGAGCTCCGATGGCCTTAGAACAGCCAGAGTCTGCAGCCTGAGTTATTTGACTTCCATTGCCAGGCGCCTGTCCCCTCTTGCCAAAGACAGCCTCAGAGGTATCAGAAGCCTTGTCAGCTCTACCCAGTGTGTCACTGGGAACAGATCCATGAGTAGTGTCACTAAATGTTCGTGTTGTCTTCTCTACTTTTCCCTTCAATCCACTCTCAGTGCCCGTCTTGGGAGTCCCCTTCCAACCTTTACTGTGCTCCTGAGCAGCTGGGGGATAGCGGCTAAGTACCGATGGCTGCTCCCTGGACTTCTTCCCTTCGCTCTGAGAGGATCCAGATGCAAATCGGTCTTCAGTTCTCTTTGTTTCCTGAGTCCCACTGTCTGTACCTGCCCCCATATTAGAAGCTTTTGCTGCCCTCCTATTGATGAAACTGGGAGAGGAAACCTGCCTGTTGCCGAGAGAATAGTTTTCATTGTTGAGAGCAAACTCCTTGTTTCGGAGCCTTTCCCGCTTATGCTGAGGAGACAGTTCCCGGGATGTGTGCTTGGACACAGATGCCTCACTCCCGTGGCCTCTGAACTTAGTCCTCTCATGTCTGCCTTTGCTGGACAGGAAAGCATCTTGCCCTTCTACCTCCCCGTTTTCTAACTCTTTCTGTTTCTTTATTTGTAGCTTTATTTCCTCCAGCTGCCTGGCTAAGAATTTGTTTTTATTTTGTTCACTTAGGTAATTATCCTGAAGGTCATTATTTTTGGCCCTCATTTTCTTAAGCTCTTCTTCCAAAGATTCAAAATGTTTGATTTGCGTCTTAAGTTTCTCAATCTCTTGGTTAAGGTCTTTGACTTTGTTGTCTTCCTGATTTCGGTTCTTTTCATTTTCTGATTTATTTCTTGTTTCGTTCTCTACCTGCTTTAGATAGTCCAGAGTGCCCTTCCTTCTTGATTCTTTGGACGGCAGTGTAGAAGAGATACCATCCTCAATCCGTAGGTCATTTCTTTCCAGATTAGAAGCATTCCTTGTATAATCTCGGTTCATTTTTTTGTTCTGTTCTAATTTTTGAGTGAGTTCTTTTATCAATTTCTCATTTTCCTTCTCCTTTTCATTCAAGTATTTTCTCTCACTTACAAAGCTCAGAGTTAATGATTTCAACTTTTCTAACTCTGACACTAAACTCTGCTCAGTTTTATCCAGGCGGTCCTCAGAAGATTCCAGTTCTTTCACTTTGACTTTCAGCATTTCCAGCTCAGAGGAGATTTTCTTGGTCAGATTTCTCTCCTCATTCAGGCTCAGGCACAGCTGGGTACAGTCATTCTTACTCCTACTAAAGGCCTCCTCTAGCTTCTCTAATTCAGCCATTCGTTTCTGAAGCCGTTCAATCTCAGATTTCAGCTCCCGAGTTAGGTTTTCCTCCTCTTCAAGTTTCTCCTTCATCAAATGACACAGATCCTCTGCTCTCTTAATTTCCTCATCTTTACCTTCAATTCTCAACACCCGCTGGCGCAGCACTTCAATCTCAGCCAACATGCTGGAGTTGCTGCCTTCTGCCTGAATCACCTTGTCCTGGAGATCCAGGAGCTCATCCTCTGCTTTCTGGAGGTTTTTTGTGGCTTCCTCCAACTCATCAAGGCGGCGGCTTAGACTCTGTAACTTAAACCGCAAGTGGCGGCTGGAAGCAGTCTCCTTGTAGCTTGCAAATTCAGCCATGTCTACTGCCAACCAATGTGGGCTCCTAGAGGCATCCAATTCCACTCGAGGGGATGAGAAATGGTTACCTTTCTCTTGGCAACCACAACCTTCTTTGGCAGGTGGAGACCATTATTTGACTACAGAAAAAAAGTAGAAAACATGTTAGTCAGCAAATCTAAAACCTGTTCTTTAGCTCCCAGTTGTAAAAAGATCTCCTATCTGTAATCCTTGCACCTAGGACATAGCAGGTGCTCAAATCTGTTGAATGAACCTACAAAAAAACCCACTGGTTCTTTATGGGCAATACTGAGCTGATATCTAGAGTTTCAACCTAATGAAGAATATCACCAGTGGGCAGCAGGGCAAAAAGCAGAAGAAGGCCTCAATTCTCATGGCAGGGTATAATAAAATCTTTACCATCTGCCACTTGCCTAATCTCAGGAGAGTTATTAACCGTTCTACAAGTCATTAACTAAGTAAACTGAGCCTCAGTTTTACTTAGTTGTAAAATGGGATAATGATGTCTACCAACTCTCTCCCAAGTGTTATTCTCAGATAATACATGGAAAGCTCTTGGTAACAAAGCACTAAATAATTCTAAGATTATTATTTTAAAAAGTTCTCTCTCATGAGCTATTGTGACTTATAAGTGATATAAATTAACTGGACAACTAAAAAAAATATAGAAAAAATTAGCTGAGCATGGTGGCGCATGCCTGTAGTCCCAGCTACTCGGTAGGCTGAGGCAGGAGGATCACCTGAGCCCAGGAGTTTGAGGTTGCTGTGAGCTATGATCATGTTAAATTTATACTTGCTCTCACAGAAAGTAAGAGACATCCCAGTTAAAACCAGAAGAAAAGAAGACTAAAGGAAAACACAGAACAGTAAATTTAAACTACCACTGAACTGTCCTAATAGGGTTTTGCAGGTCTCCAGAACCACAGCGCTTGGGTTCTCAACAGTTGTGCAGGTATATGACACAGGGTTTGAGCCCAACAGAGGTGGTGAGTTGAAAATGAGACCCCAGTCCCCAGTCTAAAGCAAGGACTATTGGACAACCACAGCTTCAGGGAAAAGTGTAGACTAGTGGGGAAAAAATATCACCTCCCTGACATAGGGAGATAACAGGACTCAGGCTAAATTAGCGGAGAAAGAGAAGAGAATCACCAGAGAATTTATAATCTTGGGTCTGCTCTGACTTGAGTTCAGAGTTCAAATTTACACTATGTGAGTGGTCTAGGACCAATTCTGGTCTCACTGAGAAACTAACATAATATGGTCTCAGCCTGTTAATATCCCTGGGAAACTTAGCTGAGTAAACAAAAGTACTCTGAAGGGAGATACTCTCTACTGAGGTCACATAAGATTCCCACAGATAAAGTCCAGCCAAACCTGAGTTTGTAATTCTAAATTACAAAACACATAAAGTCCAATCTTTTACTATGACTGAGCAAAGCAGGTTTATACCAATAAGAACCAAAGTTAATAAGATTATTAAGAGACCATAAAATAAGGACATTCCAATGTTTAAAGTTAAAAAAGAAGGAATGAAAGACAGGAGAAAGGAATAAGATACTACCAACAAAGATCAGAAGATGTGAAAATTAACCAAATAGAACAGCTAGAAACAGAAAAAAGAAGTAGCATATTAGATGTAAATGAAAAGAAAAATAGTGGTCAAGAAGAGATGTGAAATTACAAAAGGCAGTACACAGTTAAAAAAAACAGAAAAAGAGAAAGAGAAGTTAACAGGGGAAATAAAAATTAAAAGATCCAAAATGAGGAAGTTTAACAGGCAGTCCAAAAGAATGGAATAGAGAGAATGGGAACAGGTAATATTTGAAGAGATACTAAGAATTTTCAAGAGTTGTTGAGAGATATTGATATGGTTTGGATATTGGACCCCTCCAAATCTCATGTTGAAATTTGATCCCCAGTGTTTGGGCGGAGGGGGGTGGCCTGGTGGAAGGTGTTTGGGTCATGAGGACAGATTCCTCATGAATGGCTTGTTGCCCTCCCGGATGATAATGAGTGATTTCTGGCTTTGTTAGTTCACACAAGAGCTGGTTGTTTAAAGGAGCCTGGCACCACCTCCTCCCTCTCTCCTTGCTGGCTCCTGCTCTCCCTTCCCCCTTCGCCTTCCACCTTGATTGGAAGCTCCCTGAAGTCCTCACCAGAAGCAGATGCTGGTCTGATGCTTCTTGTACAGCCTGCAGAACTGTAAACCAAATAAACCTCTTTTCTTTATAAATTACCCAGTCTCAAGTGTTCTTTTATAGCAATGCAAAATAGACTGATACATATACGGAAACTCATATCCTGAAGCAATGTCCCAAACAGGAAAAAACTAAATCTGTACCTAAGACACATCATAAGGATATAGAAGAATATCACAAAAAGAAAACCTTATAAAAACAAAAAAATAAAATAATTTCACTCCATTTATGCTGCTATAACAAAATATCTGAGATGGTAATTTATAAACAGAAATTTACTTCCTCATAGCTCAGGATGCTAGGAAGTACAAGATGAAGGTGCCAACAGATTCAATGTCACATGAGAGCCCCAGTCTCTGCTTCCAAGATAGCACCTCCAACACTGTGTCTTCACAAGGTGGGAGGAATGGAACAGCAAAAAGGGTAAACTCACTCCCTCTGATCCTTTTTTTTTTTTTGTCCTAAAGAGATGGGATCTATGTTGCCTATTTTGGCCTCAAACTCCTGGATTAATGGGGACTACAAGGGTGTGCCATCACACCCAGTTCCTCAAGCCGATTTTATTTTTATTATTTTGCATTTTATTATTTTATTATATATTTTTTAGAGACAGGATCTCCCTCTGTTACCAAGGCTGGAGTGCAGTGGCACAATCATAGCTCGCTGCAGCCTCAAACTCCTGGGCTAAAGTGATCCTCCCACTTCAGCCTCCTGAGTGGGATGGGCTATAGGTACATGCCACTGGGCCTGGCTAATTTTTTTTTTTTTAAAGGCAGGGTCTCACTATGTTGTCCAGGTTGGTCTTGAACTCTTGGCCTCAAGCAATCCTCCTGCCTTCACCTCCCAAAGCACTCTGGGATCACAGGTGCACCCAGTCAACACCCTCAAGCCCTTTTTTAAAGGCGCTTATCCTTAATTACCTCCCAAAGGCCCTACCTCTTAAGACTGCTGCAATGGTGATTCAGTTTCACCATGAATTTTGGAGGGGACAAAAACATTGAAACCATAGCAACAATCTATAAAGAAATAACAACTGAACCACTTCTCAGCAGAAACTAATTTTAAGTAGGTGGCAAGTAAAAGGCAAAAGACATGGTAATACAGGCATACTTCGTTTTATTGTGCTTCATTTTATTGCACTTTGCTTTTACTATGCTTCTCCCATACATACTGTGTTTCTCACTTACAAAGTGAAAGTCTGTGGAAACCCTGTGTTGAGCAAATCTATTGGCACCATTTTTCCAGCAGCATGTGCTTACTTCTTGTCTCTGTGTCATGTTTTGGTAATTCTCACAATATTTCAAACTTTTTCATTATTATTATATTGTTAAAATCTGTGATCAGTGATCTGTGATGTTACTATTATAATTATTTTGGGGCACCATGAACCACGCCCACATAAGATGGTGAACTTAATCGATAAAGGCTATGTGTGTTCTGTTTCACCAACAGGCTGTTCCCGTTTCTTTCCCCTCTCCTCAGGCCTCCCGAATCCCTGAGACACAACAATATTGAAATTTAGCCAATTAATAACCCTACAATGGCATCTAAGTGTTGAAATAAGAGGAAGAGTTGTACATCTGTCACTTGTAATCAAAAGCTAGAAATGCCAGGTGTGGTGGTACGCACCTGTAGTCCCAGCTACTTGGGAGACTGAGGCAGGAGGACTGCTTGAGCCCAGGAGTTTGAGGTTGCAGTGAGTTATGATCATGCCCCTGCACTTCAGCCTGGGTGACAGAGTGAGACCCTGTCTCCAAAAGAAAAAAAAAAAAAAAGGAATAGAAATCATATACTGTCTGCTCTCAGAACACAATGGAATTAAACTAGAAATCAAAAACAGAAAGATAGCTGAAAAAAATCCCAAAGTACTTGGGGGTTTAAACAATATACTTCTAAATAACACATGGGTCAAAGAAGAAATCTTAAGAGAAATTTAAAAATACTTTAAGCTGACTGAGTATGAAAATACAACTTATTTAAATTTGTGGGATGTAACAAAAGCACTGCTTAGAAATCTGTAGCATTAAATGCATATAGCAGGAAAGAAGATCTAAAATCAATAATCTAAGCCTCCACCTTAGGGAACTAGAAAACGAAGAGCAAATTAAACCCAAATTAAGCAGAAGATACAAAATGATAAAAATAAGAGCAGAAATCAATGTAATTGAAACCAGGAAATCACTAGAGAAAAATCAACAGAATCAACAGATTCTTTGAAAAGATCAATAAAATCAGCATACTTTTAGTAGGCTAAGAAAAAAAGAGAAGACACAAATTACTAATATCAGAAATGAAAAAGGGGACATCACTACAGATCAGATCACATGGACATTATAAGGAAAATAAAGGAATATTATAAACAACCCTATGTCTACAAACTTGATAACCCAAGTGAAATGGACCAATTCCTTGAGAGTCACAATCTACCAAACTCATACAGTAGACAATCTGAATAAGCCTGTATCTTCTAAAGGAATTGAATCAATAATCAATGACCTTCTAAAACAGAATGCACACGACCCAGATGGGTTCACTGATGAGTTCTAACAAACATTTAAGGAAAAAAATTAGACCAATTTTCTACAATCTCTTCCAAAAAACAGAAGCAGAGCAAATACTTCCTAATTCATTCTATAAGGGCAGCATTACTCTAATAACAAAACCAAAGATGTTACAAGAAGAGAAAACTACAGAGCAATGTATCTCGTGAACACAGATGTACAAATCTTCAACAAAATATTAGTAAATCAAATCCAACAATTTATAAAAAAATTATATACTACAACCAATTGTGATTTATCCCAGGTATGCAAGGCTGGTTCAACATTTGGAAGTCAGTTAATGTAATTCATCACATGAACAGGTTAGAGAAGAAAAATCAAATGATCCTATCAATAGACGCAGAAAATGCATTTGACAAA